ACGCCATTTGATAACTGACAAGTAAAAAAAAAAATTAGCAAAGAGCCACTTTATCGCTTCTTAACCGTGCACTTTAAAATGGTTTTGGTTGATTTAATTATAATTTATTTGAAAGATGCTGCCTCAAAAATATTTTATCATGAGAATACAAACTAAACAAAATTTTTATTCTTCACTTTAATTTCTGCATTTTTTGTATCATGTTTTTAGGTCTATTTAATGGCTAAAGGCTGATGTCTAACACGTTAAGACGATCTCGCGTGGTCGTAGAACGTTAAAACTTCTTTTTTTATTTTTGCTTAGAGAAACTCCTTTCCCTAATTGCAACAGTTATTGGTATAGTCGAGAATATTTTTAAAGCAACACTAAAGGTTTAGGGCCGAAGTTGCTCTGAAATTATATATATTAAAATAAATAAAAGAAAATTTATTTTAAATTTTTCTTTGGAATCGTTCTTCCTGCGCTTACAGGCACACTGTGTAGTATTGTTATAGTATTGTAATAACTTCATTAAAGGACTTTTCAGATTCAGAAATCCCCAAAAACATTTACAGTTCTCCGATGGATAAAATGCAGATGCTAGGTAGAAATCTTCTGTTTGCAGCAGATTGCTTGCGGGATTAACGCAGTTCTATATCAAATTCAATAATGCTAACAGTAGGGTTGTCAGATATACCACTTTTACATTACAGAATTTTGGCATTTTAAATGGAATTTTGGAGGTTTTTGAATACTTAGTGAAAGATTACCAGAATTATAAATATCATCGCGAACCCTGACAATATTGCTGTTATCATTTTTGAATTCTGCAAGTTCAAAAACACCCTGAATTTTTGGCAATTTTGGAGATATTTAAGCTTTTTGGTACTTTTTACTGGAAAGCGGTGTTGTCGTAGTTCAATAATTAATAGAAACAAAATTTTGAAATTATGAGGCCTTACTAAATTCGACATGCCCAATTTATTGCAATAAAAATAGATAAAGCATTTCATTTAAAATAACAAAATTTTGATCTATGACGTAAACGTGGCAAATCTGATAATATTGCTGTTAGTATTTTGGCATGTTCAAAATCCTTCAGGTATTGAATTTTATCGATCCAGTTTTTGTAGTTTTGAAGATATTTAAGCGTACCTGCACTTTTTTTTTCACTCAATCCGATATAACAATTTAATAAACTCGAGGCCTCGTGTAATTAAATTATTTATATTTTTTTTTAGTAGCTGCTCAACAAAGAGTCATATTCAAATAAATAATAATAATAAATTTAAGTTAAATTTTAAAGGCTTAAGCCTTGAACATGTTTTAAAAGTATTGTCTATCGAAAAATAAATGCTGAACAATATAAGTAGATATTTTTAATGGTATTAAAGAAATTAGCGACTTTCAATCGCAGCCTCTTCCATATCATTAACCGCTAGATTGAGTGAGTGGCTAATATATGGCACCGCTAGCTTTTAGATTATACTACTGCTTTTTGTCCGCTCATATAATATCTTGCAAATTTAAGCCCAAATCATTGAGTTCCTCAATTAAAATTTCCAGTGGACCTTAACTGCCATTAATGTTGACATTATTTTAATTCAATTTCTGTCAAAAACAAAACACCAAATATAAATATTATCAATACTGAACATATAAATTGAAGTAAAAATATTACCATTGCTTAATAGAAACTTTTTTTTCTCTGAATCGATTTTTTAAATAATTTCTAATATGAATATTCATTATGTTTTTTTTTTCTTTTTTCAGGTATAAAATAATCAGAGAATCAGATTAAACACGCAGAAAGGGAGTCAATATTTTCCATTCCAAAATACGCGTCGGTGTTTACGGGGAGTGTGTTTTGAAAAGAAATTGTCTGGTAGCATAAATCATTGCAGGAAGATAACAGAAAACAGATGTTTGTTCGGCCATGTGGTTCCGGTAAAAACAACTACCGCAGCCTGCTGACAAAAGTTTTGGAATCCAACACTGACATTAACAGTTGACTACGAGCGACAGATAATTGTTTTAAATACCGAATGTAAGACACAAAAGTACACTGTCCAATGCAAATGCGCAATTAAGTTTTTTTTTCTTATGAATCGAACGTCACTAAAACACGAATACGGAATACCTATAATTAATGGTTGATACGATCTATGGAATCCGCTTTAATTTTTTTTATTTACATTTAAATAGTGGTTGAAATATTCTTACCGAAATAAGAAGATCGAGTCGTGGAAAGACGACGGCACAATATATTCACGCCCGCGTTAAATCACATTGTCTCACGCGTGATAAATGTTCCGGGAACACGGAAACCATTTGACCGTTTTGCGCAAAAAAAAAATTATTTATTTTTATTTTTTGATAACGTCGACGGATCCTTAAAGGTGACTCTTAACAAATACCGGTGTTAGAAATCACTTGGCACTATCGCTGATTAGTTTAAATTTAACCAAAAATTAGCTGCGACATAGTCCGGGCCGAAATGTACACATTATACTATTTCTTATTACTTGGACAAAAAGTCATATCATTTTTTATTTTTAATTCAATTTTGATAATCTAATAATATAATGACTTACACATTCAGCACTTTGTCAAATACTGGCGTTTTCATCATTGAACAGTGTAGACCAAATAAGTTGTGCTCGAATTTTATGAAGTATCCTGCGGTTTGACAGGTAGAGGGCGTTTGTAAAACTGCCGCGTAACTTTTTTAATTTTTAAAGATTTTTTTAAATTGGGACACTTTCAAACTACACTAAAATTACACACTGTATATTTCTACATATTTGAAAGAGAAGAGAAATTACATTTTCAACGGTGTGGCATGCATTATAATTTGGGGAAATGTGTCTTTGACTCGAATTAATCAAATCTATTTTCTAACCAGGCCTTTGTTACTGTGTTACTGATTTTTCAAACAATGAATTTGGGAAAATGGAAATGTGGTCGTTTAAGATTTCCTGTCTCGAAAGAAATTACAACTAGAGAGTTGCTAGAAGCTTAGGCGATGAGCTTTCGAAAGTTTAAACGCCCTCATTAGTTACGCCAAAATTGGTAAAAAACTGTGTTTCATGCAAAGCTGTCGACAATTTGAACATTTGTTTTAAGTTCATTGTGAATCATTTGTCGTGTTCTAATTCTTCTTTTGTCATTATTACTTGTTTTTGCTAGACTGATATTACTGAAATTATATTGTGTGAGTATGCGAAAACTTTTAAGCAATTTGTCAATTTGGAACTATAAAAACCTAAATACTTTCATAAATATATAAAACATAATCGAGATCCGTAAGATCAAAATTATATTTAAATGTCTCTCTCACTTTCATAGTTAAATGAAGTCTCCAAAACCTCCGATTGAATTTAAAAAAAAGACTATTATATTTAAATAAGAAACCATAAAACAAGAAAATAACTAAAAGGATTTCTTAAATTTCTTCTTTTTCTCTAATTCTAAATACCGAAAAATCCCGGAGGGTTCGTAAACGGTATATAAGAAATGTTTCGATTAACCAGACTTCCAGATTAGTCTTTAAATTTGTACATACGAAACGTGGCTTAGCAGGATCGAAAGCTATATTATAGCATTACGCGGTTTGAATACATCCGACGACGTACTAAACTGGCACAGATAAACAAAACCCAACTATCGGGCGGGTGTTTACAGCATTAATTTTAAAATACGCGCGAAAATACCGAAAATTCTGTTGTCACAGTATAAAATGTCGTTAATCTGCGATTTGTTTGCTTATCACTTACGAAGGAAGTGTGAATTAATTGGGTATGCTTAACGAAAATTGCAAACTTTTCGGAGAAACGATAACGATTAATGCGGTTTTAACTCTTGGTTGCTGTTATTTCTAATTAATTATTAATAAAACATCAGGATCGGTTAGGATGAGGTTGGCGTTAAAGGACATGGATGTGGAACTACCTGTTTCTTCGGAGTCTGAGGGCCTTGTGTTAGAAGTGTTAGAGGCAAATATTTTATCTGGCAGACGGCCAGGAATCTCTTCAATCCTTTGTAAATTACCTAAACTCCGTATATCCAAACATCAATTTCAATATTTAATTAGAAAATAAACTTGGAAATAATAAAAACTTCATTCTATTTGTTTTTTTATTTAATAAAAACTAAATTTATAATAAATAAAAAAAGTGGTAATGTGATTAAAAGGGAATGATATAAAATTATAAATCATATTTGTCTTTGTTATTTCAGTGGAGTAGCCAAATTCTACACCTTCACGAAACTTAGATGGGTATTTTTACAATAATTATTGTTAAATTAATACCTTATAATAAATGTTTGTCCAATTATTATTATACATGGTGTTCATTAAGTACTTCTATAAACTTCAAAATGTTTAGTCGTTGATAAACGAGGTGTCCACAAAAACTATTCTAAACTAAACTAAATTATATTTTTGTTCAGTAACATGTCAATACTACCCAGTATTGACATGTACCCATACTACCCATATTGATGACGCGGAAGCTGAAATATTTGTAGTTTTTGGTTTAATTTCACAGAGGACGCCATATACGATGTTTGAATTTATTTAACGCTAACATATATGTCATTTTTGTCTAGGGAATCAATTCAAAAATTAGCTTCAAGTAAAAATTCAACCTTCAGTATTTACAAGTATATAATTCTTTAACAAGAATGTAAAAAGAAACATTTAAGTTAAAATGGCCCACAGTAGTCTAAAATGAATTACAACAGCTTATTTTACTATAGAAATAGGAAATTTATTGTTTAGGTTAAATTTCGAATAATCGTTTATTACAGTAGTTCAAATGTAATTTTGTCAATACTTCTAAGCAATCTAAGAAAATGAATTTATTTGGGAGCTATAAATTTTTGGCGAAGAAAATTATTAAGGAATTCCGATAACAACCTATATTTAGGTCCCTGATTTAGGAAATATGCTCTTTAAATTGGTAAAACTATTTAATAAGCAATTAATAAATAATAACAGTATCCACGATTACGCGCGATTATCATCAACACGATGCGACGACGACGGTCAGAACCTTGATCCAAAATCCAAAATAACAGTTCCTTAAAATCACTTCGACTGTAAGGCTTTAAATTTCTTCGCAGTTTCAACGATGCGGTCCAGTTCGCGTCCAAAATGTTTCGACTTTTATTAGTGTTTAGCGTTTTTCCAATTGTCTGCAGTCAACTTTATGGCAGCACTACCTACGAAAGCATCCAGGAAGACGCGAATTTCGAAGCATTTTACGACCTCCTAAGGCACAATGGCGAAGCGAAAAATAACTTATTAAATGACGAGATTACCATTTTCATACCGGTAAGTAGGGTATAACCTCTATACAAATAATTGAAAATCAAAATGAAAAAATATTTTTGTTTTGTTTTTTTGACCATTTTTGTTTTTTTTAACATTGTTCAGTTCCAAAAGAAACCCAATTTAATTGTCTGATATATTGCTTTTTGAAGCACATATGATACGATTGTTAAAGGAATTTACTGCACCTTGGTGTTGACCTTTTGCGAAAAATTGAACATCGTTGTGTATAGAAAAAGAATAACTATTTACATTATTTACCTCTCTATTTGATTCAGCAACGATATCTTTGTCTGTTAGTAACATATCAGTCTTCAATCCACCCCTGAGGCCCATGCTTATATATCATCCATTGGAATATCTGCGTCTAATAATTTCTTACCATAATTTGTTGTTGTTTGTTCTGTTGTTTATGTATATTTGCTTGTTCATCTTCTTCATCCATCTCCTGGATGGACAACTATGACTTTCTTATTAGATCCTATTCAAATTTGAATAATAGATCTTCTGGTAAATAAATTTAATTCTATCAATGTTTTTTGTACTGTCGATACGAATTTACACACACCACTTTCGTTAGCATTACAAACCAAATCGTGTTAAAATCCCATTTCTCTCATTTTTGAGTGTAGCTTTTCTTTAAATGGTTCCACTGGGTGAAAAAATTTCATTAACTGCTGATAAAAATAATGATATAATAATACAATAATACTGTTACAAAAGGTTGAAATATTTAAATTAATTTTGAAATACTAAATTGCCTGGATTTTATTTTTGCCCTTTCTTGAACTAACAAAGTCTTTTTTTCATTGCTGTATATACCCTTAAACACCTACCACTGCACTTGATGACGTAGAACCACGCAAAGACAGTTTGACGAGGGTAGGATTGTGACATGAGTGTCCGAAGTTAAGGGTGGCCGCATTGTAGAGGTTAGGGAGGGTCAGATGCAATACAATTGCGTATTCAAATATTGATTGATTATAAAATTCAATAAAACTAATTGGTAATAAAATGATTAGATTCATGTTTTTCCTAACAGAAAATCAATATTAGAAAACAATTTTTTTTTAAATGTATAATATTTACACGAAAATATTATTTTTGGGATTCAAAACATATCTATTTCTATGAGGTCGCGACCAACGGTTTGGCCATGTGCACCGAAATTCGCCATCTTTGCAATTACGATTTCGATAAGAACGAAATTTTATCTATTATCTGTATCTTTTAATCATAATCATTGTCGGAGCAGTTACAATTATTTCACAATATACTTTCTCCTTTTCCTTTACAAACTTACGAATAATTGTTCCAATCTATTTTATATAGACAAACGAAGCTTTCCAGCGATATGGACCGATCCTACATTCCGATTTGGCTTTTTATCATATGGCATCGGCAGCACGCGCCATAGAAGATCTGAAAAAGACTCGAAATATTTCCTGCATAAATCCCAAGTTTCCGCCCTTATGGATTTCCAGAAACGGCGACGACCTGTACGTCAATAACGCTGAGGTATTTTCACATAACTACTATCCGTCCAAAAGTAGGACAGGAGAAGGCGGTAAACCGCAGGTTAGTTTAACGGTAAACCAACTTTTCGACATATGTGAGGGTTGTTTCGGTAGTTACAAAGGCTAGAACATTCCGGTAAACTTGCTTAGTGTTCATAAAATTTGTTGCATAATAGATTATTATTTATATTATTCAATTAAAAAAATACATAAAGAACTATAAACCCAACAAATTGGAGCACATTGAGCAATCAACCAATAAATCTCGTTGGGATTTGAGTCCTGTAAAGTTTCACAAAGTAGTATTTGTTTGTAGTGCCTAAAGGTAACCCTAGAAATTCTTCTTCTTTTATCTCTTTGAAACTTGTTTTTATTGCCATATCTACCAAATCTTAGTAACTGATCTTGCTTCTCCTTCAGTAGGACGTCTAGTGCCATAGCCATATTTGCAGTAACGTAAGGCTCGGTAGTTTTTATACTCTACTCAGTTGCTTCGTCGCCAATGTGCATAGTTCTTGTCCACCAGATAACTGTTCCATCATTCGTGTTAGTGCTGCAAGGAGTTCTTTCCACACATTATTCGGTACATCCCTCGTTCAATTATTACCCTAAGTGTAGCCTTTAGAATTTATGAAGTGCTAGTAAGCCTCTGGCCAATTGTGGTCCTAGACACCTTGCTAACTTGGAATATTTAACCATTCTCCGTTTAGTTCTGGTGGTTTCAGCCCAGTAATAATAGCCTCTTGGCTTCTCTCTTTACTAATAAATTTGCTTTGTACCACAATCGTTAGATAATCTATATAATATAGTCATAAGAACGCTGGAAGGTTTATTTAAGTCTTCTAAAGCCGGATCTGTTGATTTCCTGATTGGTAACGCATCGACGATCACTTAGCGGGACAATTGGTAGTGAAATGCCTCTCACCTAGGCTTTCATCTACCCAGCAGCGTAACCAAAATGCGTAGTTTTCAAATGGTTATACTTTTGGCTATATATGTAGGATTCTCTCAAAGTGTCGTGGAATCGAATCCTCTGTATACCATAGCATTTTTGGATTCTCCTGTAAACACTAGTGTGTTTTAATAAAGTTTATGGCACCTAAACCTTAATGTAATATTTAAGTTATCACCATCTAATAAATATACTTAGCAAAGATGGACTACTTTTTCAAGTTAGATTTTTTTTGACTTTGCGCACTTTAGATCGTTTACCTCATAGACCGAGTGTTGGATCCATTGATTAGACTGCCTCATTTTAAACACACCGCATTCGATTTTATGGGTTCGTTCAGCAAATTTACATTAGGATCGACAAGAAAGTCCGTCCACAGTTTCTTGTACAAAGTACAAGAGAATAACGTTACCGACTTATACGAAGCACAAGGAGGAAACACATATTTCATTCCGGTGAGATCTAGTATCTGGCTATGCGAAAAAATATCACAGCAGCTTTTCTTTACAGATAGACGAGGGAATCGGTAGTAAACAGTTTCACGCAATAAACAGATACTCCATATACAGTCACATAATACCCAACGTTGTGCTTTTCACGAGACCGACCAAAAGGCAATTTAACTATGAGTCATTGGCGAATGATGATTTCGTATATACCGTATTATCGCTAGAAGACAATAGTAAGTAAGCCCTAGATACACGACACATGGGAAAAACTTCGGGGTTGTGACTCCTCATTCAAAATGAAAATGTATTTTGTTAGTCAAAACTCGCGTTAGAAATACAAAAATAAAATTATAAATAATAAAAACAACAAGAAATAATACATACACAATAATAAAAGAATAGAATTTTATGCATTTGTGGTACATGAAATTATTTTTCCGTGTCACTGCCTCAATTACGTTTACCAAGAATATTTGAATCTCCTTTCCGCGTTCTAAAAATGTGAAAAAATTGGCAGAAAACATATTTTTCTACACCCGTCTGTAAAATGTCTAATTACACACCGATCTAGGGTGCGGGAAGCGTCACGTTAGTTTCGTTTGCCACGGATCCGAGCTACTTCGGACATTTCCAGGATTTTACCGCACGGGTTTGGGAGCAATCGGATGTTTTAGGAGGTATTTCCCACGTCTTGAATTTTGACGTTTGTCAATTCTGAAGGTCATGTCAGTGAATGTATTTGTGTTGTTTAGCGAAAATGTACGCCAAAACTAACGGTCGTAGAAAAACTATAGTATGCAACACGTTCGGTAAACTTTTTAAGTCATTCGTTTATTAAACACTCGCTCCGCTAGTGTCAAATACACTCGTGAGTCAAATGCCGTTTACCGCACTTGTTGCATAATATACTATTTTCTACTCACTTCTTTAAAATGCCGACTTATACACCGATCTAGGGGTATGGGAGTAGTCACATGTTTTCGGCTTGAATATCAGTGAATGTAGTCACACGTTTGGTAAAGTTTTTAAGTCACCCGTTCATTGAGCACTCGCTTCGCTGCGCTCCGCTAGTGACAAACAAATTCGTGTCGTTTACCGCACTTCTTTTTCCGCTATATTTTTAACAAGATATCCCGTAATAAAAGAAACGTTTTTTTTTTGCACAGTCAATGACTAAAGAGCTGAATTGAAAAAAATTTCGGGAATTTTCAATTATCTCAATACTAGAAACTGGCGTAGTGAGAATCAGCATTTAATGTTTGAAAGGACTGACATATAGCTTATAGAATACTTAGAAATCCTTGAGGAAGTTATTGCGGAACTGCTGGAAAATATTCTATAAGCCTAATATAACGCAAGATAGTGCTCAATTCAAAGCTCTAAGCTTTTATGGGAATTAACTTTGCTCAAAGATGGATAAATACCAACAGACCTATTAAATCGCCACCGCGATCTCGCAATTATATTTACGGCGTCTTATACGAAATGAAGTATATCGAAATCTGCGATGAGACCTGTGAGTTTTTTTAACTTTATTCAAAAGATTATAAAAATGTTCCAATTTTGTATTGGAATAAATAATCGTCTATTTAAACATTACCTTTAAAAATTTGTTTCTTTCTTTTTTTTAATAATGTCGTTTTTTGTGTTATTTCAAACTTACTATTATTATAAAAACTTCGTTAGCAATATCTAACTTTCAATTGTTTCTTATTGTTATTGAAGGCTTTATTTTCACTTCACTTATTTGCTTGTTTCTGAGTAAAAGTCTTATATATTTTATATATTTATTTTATATATTTTATAAATATACAGAGTGTTCTGTTTGATAAAATAAAGTTTTTGACCTGGCACTGTATAACTAATTTGAAGAGTGGAATTGAGTTCTATGAGAAAAGTTATACAACGGACATATAAATATAACTTATTGGATAGTTGACATACGAGGGGGGCTGAAAATATAAAACTATGTAAAGAATAATGCAAAATGCCATTGGAGGTTAGGTCGTGCTTAATGTATAGGCAATATACTTTTTTTAAGAAGGAAAGCTCTACGTGAGAGGTAACACGATTCTGGGCAAGCCGAGCAACCCTCAAGGGGAATTTGTAGTAGAAATTTTACATCCCGACATTCCGGTCGCTAATGGAGTGGTTCACGTGATATCCCGACCCCTGGGGGTATTTCCACACTCGCTAAAACCATTCCCCTACGTATCGGTCTTGGAAAAAGTCGCATCCGATCCGAATTTGGACACTTTCTACCGGTTAGGAGAAAAATTTGGTAAGTTTCGCTAGGGGAGGGACGTCTTGTATTATTGCGGGACGCGTCGTAAATCCTAATAACAGTTTTACAGTAGATTGGTACACAAGAGTTCTCAAAATCCTAAACAAAAAATTGAACCTTGAAGGTGAATTTTAACTACGACTGCAGTAAATTTCTCGTTTTCCAGGATTTCACAGTATTTTCACGGCTCACGACTATTTTTTTACTTATTTCGTGCCCAGCGAATACGCGTGGAGGCAAATTCGAAAGAGCGACTTGCAATTGGTCGGGTCAGAGGTCGACTTGCTAAAGCGCCATCTGGTATTGTCGGAAACGCCGTTCTCTATGGAAAGATTGCTGGCGACGAGCAAAACCAGCAACGTAACGTACGTTCTACTCAAAGATATTAAATCACAGGACCAGCTATGTTCGCAGCAAACAAAACCAGAAGTTATATGGTTGGGTCTCTCCCATGATTTAATGTCTTTGGTTTTATTACAAGCGATTTCAGAAAAATGTAGAGTAATAAAAGTGAAAATTTCGAAGAGTTTCGCTCAATTTTGAAGTTGGGAATGTGAATGAATGATAAGTTCAAACATAGTGAACATAGTAATTATAAGGCAGCATAACAAGACACAAGATATTTAAAATGAAAAACTTTAAGCTACTTCAGAAAACTGGCGATAAGCAGTCCAGCTTAGCACTGTTTCGACTATATGGAATAATCAGACAAAAATCGCGTGAATTGCTTTCAGGTAAAAAAGTAAAGTAAAGTAAAGTAACATTTACATCAGTAATTAGATAATACATTCAAAGAGCTATCAAGTGCACATTGAATTTGACAGATTTGTGGGTGTATTTGTGCAGTCTAATACATCTTAACTTATTAGTTATGGCTAAGTTAATATTATGGCTTAAATTAAATTACGTGACAATTAATTAGGTAAAAATTAAGCTGTTAAAATTTCGGACGAAGGTGTTTTCCAAATGTTTTGAAAAGATGTATTAAGATTAGGGAAATTTTCATTTTTCAAAAATCTGAAAAAGTTAAAAAAATATATACTTGTTTGAGGATTATTTATGGAAATGGACATGGACAATCAGGGCCAGTGTAACAAATACATAGTAAATAGATTAAAAAATCAAAATATTTGTTACTATATCTATATTACTAGTTTTGTAAATAGTATTACAGTAGCTTGTTGAAGTTTCTTTGAAAAATTACACCTATATAAGTTTGTAATCAAAAATATATCCATTTTTAATATGTATTATAGCAAATAGATATTAGTGGTTTATATGCAAAATGCGTCATGCGTTCTTTAATACTAAATTTTTGGTATAAGTTCGTTGCCTCTATTTCTATTTTTCGTGATGGATGGTAATTGTGGGTCAAATGTAAGAAGGAGCATGTTCGATGTTGACACTAAAAACAATAACTCTTTAACGGACAGTTGCACCTAAATAAAATATGTTTTAAATCACAGATAATGAAAATTTCTAAATATATACGGAAAATTACGAATACGATATTTATCGATTTTTTATTAAGTCAACAGTAAATAAATACTGTTATAAGAAAAAGTGTTTTTTTATAAATAATATAACTATGGTTACCCATATTTGTAATCTCGGTTTCTAAACATACTGCAACACACACAAAATGTTACAAGTTGGGAAAAGATATCGAGCTATTAGATAATATAGCTGCATTTTACGGTAAAAATTAATGATAATTTTCTCCCTAAACAACTCCTTTTTCCAAGAACATCTAATGAGATCTAGCAGTTCTGTCACTTATCTAGTTTTCCCAGAACACTAGTATATTTTGAGAAAACACTTTCGTAAAAATGCTGCATCCAAACTAATGGACGACCTGTCAGCGGCGATGTTCGTTGTCGAATGCCGCAAGGTCATTATTTAAAAAATATATTTTTAAATCTCGCTCATGCGTATGCTGAATGGACCTTCTCAACATTTCTTTAATAGTTGCTTCATATTTATGTATCGCTGTATTATCGGCATTAAGCAGTGCCTCTAAATCTCTAATAGCTACATGGGAAAAAACTTTTAAAATAATAACTTATGCCTAGCGTTGGGCAGGTCATTATAGCAGGTAGCTAGGTATGTTTTTACAGCCAACTATTCAAAAGGTAATGTTAAAAATATTTTTATACGGTATTTTTAAATATTCTAAAATAATTATTGATTGCTATTTGTTAATAATAATTATAACGTGAAGAGGAGTGAACAGTGAAGAGTGAATTTTTTGTATAATGTTTAAAAAGAAAATAAGGATTCATAATTCTTTGTATTGGCGTTTTCGATGTTGGCGAATGGATAACAATAGGCAAAACCAATGAATTGACCAAATTGCCATAAAACCAATGCCAAACAATAACAGTTGAGGACCATGTAGTGTTTGAAGTTTTATTACTCCACGCCTTTCTGAAATATGCTATAGCTGTCGATTTTTTTTTTATATTATAACAAGTCGTGTTCTAGTGGCGTGTCACTTCAGACTGTGGGGGGTCTAATCAAACTACACATTCACCTCATAGACGGCACCTATTATATACAGTGGTACAACAAGTTGATAAGGGTGACGAGGCCCAACTACGAGTGTAGCGACGGGATCGTGCACGTTTTGGCTGGCCCGATCGCAACGTTTCAAAGGAACAGTTTTAATTTCCTAGCTCTCAATTAAAATGTTCACACAGATGCATTTGTTTTTTTTTGTTTCGTTTAATCGCCCGCAACGCACTTACGTCAGTCGTTTTCTGCGCTTGAAACAGGTAGCAATACAAGAGGTTATCGCCGTCATCTTTCAAGAGGTAGAGAAAAGTACACGCGTCAATGTCAGCTTGCGAGAACCTGGTCATTTGGTGGACCCTGTGCGAAAATTGCAGCTCAAAGTCCGGATTGTACGCCTGCAGAATACCATCTTCCACTCCCAAACTCAACTGAAAAGAAAAAATAGTTACACGTGGAGAAAAATACCTAAGCATCAAAAATTAATTTAAATAAATAATGTCTTTTATTATACCATTTACTAAACTTCTGTATTCTTCCTGCGTCGATCGTGAATCCAACTTGCGGACGTATTCTCTAGCAACATATCTAGCTTCTATATTACAACATTTGCAGAGAAATCTGATAGTTTCCTACTTAATTCCTTCCGTTTCAATTAAAAGCCATTACATTAAATACACACGATATTCTGGTTAGTTTAGACGGAGAATCCTTTTTTACTAAAGTACCTATTCCTGAAACTCTCAACATTATTTTAGATATATAACAAACGTCGCTATGGGTTCTCGATTATCATTAATCATCGCGAATATATTTATGGAAGCATTTCCATCTAAACTAAAATTATGGAAACGCTACGTTGATGATACTTTTATCATTTGGCCTCATAGTCAACAATGCCTCCAAGATCTTCTTAGACATTTAAACTCTATACACCCTAACGTACATTTTTCTATTAAATTAGAAACCAAAAATAATCTCCCATTCTTAGATATTCTTATCAATAGAAACTCAGACCTCACATTGGATCATTCTGTTTACAAAAATCATCGGTTATCAACTCTCTCAAATAATATATAAGCAGATACAGAGTAAAATGCGAGCCAGTTTCAGTTAAGTTCTGATGAAGCCTACAGGATTATTTGCGAAACATCAGCAAGTGCGATTCATCAACAACTGAGGCAGGAGGAATATAGAAGTTTAGTAGATAGTGTTACAGCAGCCTCTAGAAGTTTGTTTAAATAGTTAAGGTCTTTTATTACGTTACCAAAACAAAACTACCGAACAACCGAAATAATAATACTTTATAATTGCAGTGAGAATATAACAAACACTACGTACCCAAATAATAAAAACGTAATAACATTTTAGCATACAAGCCATAATATCAGATGTACCATCATGACTGCAATAATGCTATTAATGTTGCTATCTACTCGTAGACATTTATGGGCCAATAAATACGGGTAGGAGTGAGGAAAATGAATACATTCTGTTGTATTGCATACTCTATAACACACATTAAAATAAAATAAGTCGTAAGAATAATTTGAATCTGTTATATCATTATCATCCAAGGATATAATTAATATTATTATGTTGTCCCAAGTTTTTTATTTTCGCCTTTCAGTACATGAATAGCACATTGTCCCCAACTGTTCTCTGGTATTAATTCACAATGAGTTTACATAAATTTCTATATTATTCAAATCGCAGTGAGAAGATGGTAATCTAAGGGGTATATTACCGGATTTTTTCATGACCTCGTCTACGCGATAAGTTTTATCATACGCTTTGGTTCTCAAAACCGTAACTAAGTGAGCTTTTTGGATAAGTATCCTCAATATACTCACCAAGGAACTCTTGCAATACCTTTTTTTTGCTGCTGATCGTTGGTACTTTTTTGGCTAAAGTGCGGTGATCACTAGCATTATCATAAACTATTACTCTGCCTGGTAAGATATTTGGATGAAAAGAAGTTTTCATTGTATGTTCAAGAAGTTCACTTGTAATGTCCTGGTGGTAGTCTAATGAGCAATCTTTAGTAGCAAAGCAAAATGAATATTCTTTTTCCTCTAGGTTCAAACTCATTCAAAATGCAGTTCGATAAGCCTTTCTTTATAGTGTCCATGCATGTCGAATCAAGCCTCGACTAAACAATTTATATTTTTTTCTATTTGAGGTTAATATTTTTGTCTCCATTTCACCAATCGTTGGGTCACTTTAATTCAACTACTTGTCAGTGTCGGCCAGTAAATCGGCCATTTTCTTTTAATTTTTGTTGCAATGTTTAAAGTGAGAAATCTAATTACTCTCATACATCGCATACACTATCTGCAAATCCACTTTGCGTCACCATCACCCAGCCACAGTCCAAATATAACAAATAATGACTGTAACACCACGAATGCCAAAGTGCAAATGAATTTCTAAGGTGTCGACTTGTAAATCGTTTTTTTGTTGCTCGGTTTACTAAGGGTAAAGGGTCTTCCGTTTATGACAGGCAAGGCAAGTCACGACCATTGATAAGAGAATCGGGAAAACTAACAAAATTGTAAATAAATTAACCTTTAAACAAAAAAACAGGGCAAAATGTATTTGCCTTTACGTTTTTTAAACACGTAACGCATTGAAATTGCAATCAGGGGTACTCAATATATTTTATAGACAAAGTTACACCAAATGGTGTTTCTATCTATTGTCCAGTTTAAGCAATTCTAAGATGTGTTATCATTTTTATGGTGTCATTTTTATGATGTCAAAAAATTGTAATTTCGGGTTAAGTATAATATATTTATACTATTCATGTTAGTTTTTACTTGGCCAATGTCGATTTTACTACCAATATATATTCCCCAAAATAAATTCAGGAATAATATCGAGTTTTATAGAATATATCGAATTATAGAATTAGGGGTTTAAGCATCGACAGCATATGCCACAACAAATCTTAAGGGATTTTCAAATATGGCATAGAACTTGGAGATAGACCAGACAATATTTTTTTATAACGATCCATTTCTTGAGACCACTAGACTTAATAACTGCAGATGAATAATTAGCGAACCTAAAATATTTTCGCTTAGGCAATGATCGATATATAAGACAGTCGGTACAGATCAATTCAACATCGAAAAAACATTTTTTTCTCTCCTCTGTTCTCCGTAGCGGATCTTTGAGAATTTTTTTATTCTGGATAACTTTCGCAGAGAATTATTTTATCTTATCCTTATCCGTCCACATATTTCGAGAATTTGCTATTAGGCTCCGCTGGAAGGTGGCAACTGGAACAAGACAAAATAAATACGAAATAAAAGTTCAGATTTTCACGAAATTATATATATATATATATATATATATATATTTATATATATATATATATATATATATATATATATATATATATATATATATATATATATATATATATATATATATATATATATATATATATATATATATATATATATATATATATATATATATATATATATATATATATATATATATATATATATATATATATATATATATATATATATATATATATATATATATATATATATATATATATATATATATATATATATATATATATATATATATATATATATATATATATATATATATATATATATATATATATATATATATATATATATATATATATATATATATATATATATATATATATATATATATATATATATATATATATATATATATATATATATATATATATATATATATATATATATATATATATATATATATATATATATATATATATATATATATATATATATATATATATATATATATATATATATATATATATATATATATATATATATATATATATATATATATATATATATATATATATATATATATATATAATTTCGTGAAAATCTGAACTTTTAGTTGTTATTTATTTTGTTAAATGGATTTTCATCAAGTAAAAGCCATCCTAGTTCAATTTTTAGAACAAGGCATTTATTTCGCGAAATCAATTCATCGATTCAAATAAAAACTAACTACTGGAACTCCAAGGTACCGTAAACGGAAAGCTAAGCAAATTAAACGAGGTTAAGTGGCAGATGACTGTTTCCTATACCCAAAGTGTGATAAACGTCATTCCATTCACGAGTTTGATTTCGCACGAGCGGAGCAAATGCTTAATAAACTGAAGTTTTTCAACGTCTTACATAGTATATTTTCTATGGTACATTTTTTTAAAGCTTCACGAACACATCCACTGAGTGACGTTTGACGTGATTATCAGAACGAACAACCGTTAAAATTGTCCCATTAAATATTGGATTTGAAGCTATCCTAGTACCTTGTGGACATCGATAAGGTATGAACTTTTGCCAATGAATGAATATTATGTTTTACATTTTATTGCTGTGCAGTATTTTGTAAATCATGATAATAAATTCAAAATAACCGTAATTCAACAAAGTTGCACCATGGTGATTGTAAGATCATCTCGTCTAAATGTCAAAAAAGCTAAAGCAGCTCCTTGTCACGTTAAACACAGCGTCATAATTACAAATATTCTCATGGAGAGAGAGAGCCAGACATCTTGCCTATCTCAAGAAAGATACACGTTGCTGTCGCCAAAGAATGTGAAGAGAGTTGGGATCGATCAAGCCAAGGCTATCGCTCATTGTATTACCCTCCAAACGGAGGAGTTGTTTGGAGAGATCACCTCGATCGAGCAACTTTTGTAAGTGATCCCAAAAACACCTTACCAACGGGCGTCTTTCTCTAACACTCCTACAGATATCAATGTCACTTGTCTCTGGGGATTGACGACGGCGAAGGCAACATGGTCGCTTTTTTATGCCTCCATACATACCCTCATATTCCTGCGATTCCTCCGTGCGAGTGGGAGCGCTGGCTGACGAATATTTACGGTAACGAACGTCCCTCGAGGAATGTTTCGAAAAGACGACGCCATTTTTTTAAGGAATCGAAGACGCTCACAGCGAAAACACTCTTTGGGTTCGCCTCTTCGCGTACCAGACCAAGTACGAGATGTTTTTCATGAAAGCCATTGCGCAATATGTGTTCAAGACTTGTAGATACCTCGCGAATATTTTGTTAGTACTGCCACCCATCGAAGTCGATGTGGGTTGCATCGAAGACGTTTCTGTTCGAGTTTTTCCTAAGGGTAACTAACTTGTGCTTCTCTAACAGCAATTATCCACCAATCTACCGATAAAGTTGGATTTATTCTATCTAACGTGCATCCCTGCCCGCGCATATACTCAGTATCTCATGGAAATATAACATCTCTTTTTCTGTTTCTCGGGCTCAATGAATTGCAAATACAGTGTATTCGGAATTTGAGTTCGGAAACTTGGAGGAAAGGTTGAACGTGGTAAAATAATGATAGGAAGTCATGTACTAAAAATTCGAAATCGTAATATTTTCCGAGTTATAACTTGTCAAAATTCTTTTTTTTTATTTAATTTTTAACGCAGAGGAATAGGAAAAAGCTCGCATTTTACAAAATAAAAGTGTCTGTCACTAGAGGACACTTCACCGAAAACATTTTTTTATTTTCCCTGTATTTTATTTATTTAGACTGATATTGGAAAATAAAACATATTACTTTAAGCAGAATTACAAATCCTCAAAAATTGTTATTCTTGATTTGAATTGATGAGTGTTATCGTTTAGCCACAAATCGACTTTTCTTTTCTCACCCCCAATTTCTTCTTCACTTCTAATTTACAGAAAGGTGATATCTACTGCATATAGCGATATTCATTTCTGTTACGGATAAGCAAGTGCAGGCGACGTGCAATAAATTTTTAAAAGCAGTATACCACAAATTATAAAAATGAAAAAATAAATGTTTAATATGTTTAATTTAAGTAACATAAATATATTTCAGAAAATACAACATTTTCAAAATGGCCATTGTTCGTTTGTAAACATTTTCTTATACATTTTAAAAAATGCTGTTTTTTGTCGTAGATCATTAATATCTGTTATAGGTGTTTGATATACTAACACACACACTGCAAGGGTGGTAGTTCATCTAGGAGAAATTTCAAATACATTTCCCTATTAAACGATCCGTTAAAGAAATGAAGTCATTTTTTACATTTTTTTAAAAAAATGGCGCTGATGTTTTCCTTCAATTTTTGCATGTGGGTTACAATGCCATCACTAATGAATGCAGCTTCGTCAGTGAACAAAATGACATTTAAGAATTGCTGGAAATTTTGAATTTTTCCTAAAATTACTCTCAATTGTTCATCGCAGTGCTTAAACCCGATGAACATGAAAGGACCGAAGATCATTTTCATGCAAAACTTCCCAAACTGTAGAGCAAGCAATTATTTCCTGAGCAGCAAATTTTCTCGTACTCGTTGACTGATCAACCTCCACATTTTGAAGCATTCTTTCTTCTCTTGTAGCTGTTCTTTTATACCTTAGTCTCCTTTTATTCATATTATCACGTTTGAATGATCCTCTTTCACCAAGTCTTCTGTGTATGTTGATGAATGTGTTAGCAGATGAAACTTTTCTATTGGGATAGCCTCGATATAAAGCCGATGGACCACCACAGTAACAGTTGGATAATAAGTAAACTCTTTTAATAGAAACTAAACGGATTCTGACAATGACTTTCAAATTTTATTTACAAGTAATGTTCGTAATATAATAAAATACAGGGAAAATAAAAAAAATGTTTCAGGTAAAGTGCCCTCTAGTGACAGATTTCTGAAACTCTTTTATTTTGTAACGATGAGTTTTACTAAATGTGTGTAAAATACCAGCTTATTCCGTTGAGAATTAAGCGTTGAAAATAAAATTTAGAAAAATGAATTTTGGCAAGGTCGGAAAAAATTACAATTTCGAATTTTTGTTACATGATTTACTACAATTATTTTACCACGTTGAATCTTTCTTCCAAGTTTCCGCAACTCAATTTCCGAACATCCAGTATAAATGTACTTATCGGACTACCGTCTTTTGAGTTTCTCGTAAGCACACAACAATATCGCATAGATCTTTACTAATACACTGGGGTAGTTCCCCAGGCGTACAGTGTATGTGCCTTACGACGAGTATTATTAGTATTAGTATCTTTATCTCTCGAACGTGATCGACTTGTTGCTGACCGTAATTTTTTTCTTTTTATTCCTTAAATTGCTGTGAATTTTATTTCTTAAGCATCTTAACAATGCTATGTCGTTTTTGTTACGAGTTCAAAGTTGAATCTTCGCCGGTTGATTAAACTGGAAAAATAATATAAGACAACAGTCAAACTTCAAACATACATCAATTTAAAGAACAATACAAGTCAGACGTTTACACTATCAAAGTTTCATCATTCAACGAGTGGTAAAAGTGTTAAAATTCAGAATACTGCGAGTATTATTGAAGGAAAGCTCAACCTTGGATGAATTTTTATATTAGATCCTATTTAACAAAGATGGTTGTAAATTAACTCTATTTTCCATTTATTTATTTGCAAGAAAATAGAGCATTCGAGGAACAACCGCTCAATACAACGTCAGAGGAAATCCAATTACACATAGAGGAGGTTAGAAAAGCTCTAAGAGAGACAAAAATTAGAAAAGCGGCTGGTGTGGGAGGTATTCCATCAGAGCTTCTCAAATATGGTTCAGGAACAGTTTTAGGAATGATAACAAATCTCTTCCGAAGGTGCATAAATGGGGAAAACGTCCCAAAGAATTGGCAGACTTGTCATATCACACCTATTTATAAAAAAGGAACAAAGAGAGGGCCGAAAAACTACAGAGGTATTGCAGTTATATGTTCAATCGGACGTTTATACTCGCGGGTCATATAATCAAAAATTGAACAGCAAACAGCTACAAGGGAAATGGAAGAGCAGTTAGGTTTCCGCGCCGGATGATCGGTGATAGACAATATCTTTACTCTTAAAATCCTTGTAGAAAAGAGGAAACAGAGAAACCTAGAGACACACTTAGCCTTCATTGACTTGGAAAAGGCATATGACACCACATTTGCAATTATCGTTCAAATCATGGTATATTAGCTTCTCGATTTCAATCTAAGTCTTCGACATTGGAATGGAGATTGTGATTCTCCTGGTTAATTTATTTCATTTATTTCCATTTCAATTACAAGTTAAATATAGGAATTGTCATGATCTGTTAAAATAATGCATTTAAATTATTAAAAACTTATTGTAAGAACAATTGAACTCTTTAATGGCCCCAAAGATTTCCGAATACGAGTAAAAATATATTTTCACTTTTCAGAATTGTTAGTCCTTTACAAGTCTGAGACAAACAATATTCACTATTTCACACTTTCTTTATTTTTATTTAAGTCACAAACAGCTTCTAGGATGTAAGATGCAGGATTATTTTTTTGTTAATCAAATAACGGGTGTATAGGACTTTCAGCAGAGGACGTTCTGATATTACCAGATGCTCGCATTTGTCTATTATACACAAGTTTTATTTAACAGCGCATCGAGAAGAGTTATGTAAGCCCACCATAATACGTCAAAATCTTATTTAAATATACGGTATTTCATTCTTACAAGGTCAAACTAAGATAATAAAACAAACTTTTGAATTATAGCATATGTTTTAGACACGCATAACAAATACGTCACCCGTTTAACTACGTTTTCCTGTAATCTGTAAATTGGTTTTAGCGCTACATAAATTAGGGTTAAGAAAGGTGGGAAATATACGATTCGTACACTAATAAAGACATAAGATTGTTATTAGTTATTACAGCTTTACAGTGATTTTTCTAGTATTTCATAGAAACCGTTGGCCACCCATACATTTTTATAGTTACTAAAAATATATAATATTATGGCTGAATATAAAAATTGTTATCTACTACTACTCCGAAAAGTTAAACCGCGTTTGATCGAAATGTAGTCGTAATTGGAAAAAGCAAATTGAAAGGCAGGATTCGAAAATATCATGATTGTTCTGATAGATTAGTGGTGAATTCAGGGAAAGTATATCCACCACTGGGACAAGTTGTGGAAGTTTGTTTATAAATCCATGTGCCCATTTAAATTTTTTGTATCTCACCCGTTTTTCAAATATTTAAGAAAAATAAAAATACCTATGCGACCATTTCTTTTTTCGAGGATTCTTTTGCATGATGGTCATTTGCATGCATAAGGGAAGATTTCCTGTTTCGTTAGAAAAGTTTTTTATGTTTTGAATATTTCTCGAAAAATTTACCGATTTTGAGATAAATGTGAAAAATATTTATTTGACTTTCTGAAATAAGATTTTTTCTGTTTTATCAAATTTTCTGCTGCAATTTTAATTATAATGAATTGAAATTTGGTACACTTCAACAAGTCAATAAGCATTCTTCAATACTAACATGGTTGAGGATGATATTTTTTTGTTTGAAATTTATGTTAGTTTCTCTCTATCACTTGATTATTGCTCGAAACATTTAAACAATTCCTTTACGAGAAGATGTTGCAATACTGTAAAATATCTATTTAGCTCTCTTTGGCTGACTAGCAAGCAACTTTTGGCAAAAACCAACACACATTATAGTAACGGTCCATGTACTTTAACAGACTGGGACGGCTCGACGAAAACCCAGTCCCTGTACCGAATCAACCGGGATCGAATCATGCCGCTCTATAAAGTGAGGAGGGCCGTAGAAGAAGACAACGACGACTTGGTGCCTCTAATAGACAAGCATTCAAAACGACTGGTCGCACTATATGGGGAATACTACATAGCCGAACTGCTGACCAGACATAAAGATTCAGGTTTTATGACCCAGAATTATTCACTAAAAAAATGTTTTACTTTTTGCCAACAACGGGAATCGTTTCAATCATACTACGGTTACTTCTTTCATCTAATGTAGGAGACTCGACGAGTCCTTAATATTTCAGGGTATGCCTATCATATTCTAATCTACATAGATTAGAAAACCATAGATGAGACGTATGGTCATGTACCATAAAAACACAAACAAATGAAAAGAGTTATTGTTTAGATTTATTTAAAGGTTTAAATAACATAGTATCAACAAACAATACAATTATTAAAAAAACCATTTAAAATATAAAACGATAATATTAATTTCTTGGAAACATTGAGACAGCATTGAATTGAAACTATCCACATTATTATGACCACTTCATAATATAATTATTAAGGGCCACAAAAATTATAATCATTAAAGTTTTTTGAAAAACAAGTTACACCATTTAAAAAAAAAACAGTTTGTAACATGTTCAACTTTGAATTTTCTATACATTCAATCCAAATGTTAAATACCTGCAAAATACAATGTCAAAAATCTTCCTCATTTACATTTTCTGTGTGAACTAGAACGACTTTTTCCACAATGTTAGTTCTTATTATAGATTTAAGACCAATAGACAGACAATTGTTGTCATATACATTTATAATAAAGCTTACACGGAATCCAATGGCACCCTAGAAACGTTCAAAATGCAAAAAGAAAATTCTGAAAGCGTCAACATCATAAATGGGTAACATTCAGAACGAAATGACACGATGGTGAAGTATGACAGTTTTAATTATCATTTGTTGAGATGCTAGCGACAAACGGTTGGTTGTAGCACAACTACAATCAACTATTCTCCAAAGAAACTTCCACAGGCTAGTGTAATACTTTTTTTTATGGTGGCTCTTGGTTTCGAATCATTTTATGAATGAATTGTCGTGCCTCCTTTGGATACAATGTCTTTCGTTTTAATCTGTAACAACACGTCATGTCGTTATAGAAAAAAGCTACCTACTAGTTCTATCGAATAATTTGCAGAAGCACTAAAAGCACTCAGCGGTAGCGAAAAGAATGACAAAAAGTTGTAGGAGATAAGAACTTCCCCTAACAATTAAATTACGCCAATTCTGCTCCAAATTGCGTCTCCTTCAATTAAAATTTAATTCCGTCCATTTTTTCAATGTCAAATAATCGTGAGGGTGAATTTTGCAGGATTTAATGCAACGATGTTTATTGCAGGACGGCATATAATCGTAGCAGAGTACCGCGACTCGGCGGTAGCGGTAATCATATTAAACGACTCAGTTAATTACGACAGGTTAAATGAAGAATTCGAACTCGTCCCTTTCAACGGATTCAAAAAACCTAGTTCGGAAGATCACGTCGAATTCGGATGTCCCAGCCAAATGGACATGATGGAATCGGTTTCGGAGTCGGTGATATAGTTTACGGAATTCTATAAATTGCCTCACTCTCGCTAAATCCTTGTGATACCATGGCGTATTCAAATATTATCGATAATAAAGTAGAATACGTCAAATTTGTTTCAGTTAATATTATTAATATTCACAAATTTCGTAATCAATACTTGACGTACTATCGGACACAAGTTGCAGCTGTAGTTGTCGGCACTTTACAATTAAAATATAATAATAATTATAGGGCAGATTTAGAACTTTGGCCAGAAGAGGAAAGGCAATTTTTTAATAAAGGATTATACATATACAAGGTATTACTAAAGTTACATCGTTTAATATAACTAGTCAAATTGAACTCCACTCTGATGCTAAATTGACAATTCCTCTTGTAACCTTATGCGGCCCAACAAAAGGACTATGACAGCAACTGGGCATCTCACTGTCAGACTGACAATCGCTATGTATATCAAATAACCCAACTTTGCTAAATGATATGAACATGTTTGCGACAAATATTTCCTATTAATTAAAGTTAAGCTGCGAAACCTACTTATGTTATTTATCTGGTACATGGTACATTGTTATGATGCAAAAATAACCAACAATACCGTTTATGTGGTCAGTTGTTATGTTTAGTTTATAAACTGCGTCGATTTCAGTTAATTAGTAATAACAGTGTAATATGTAAGTAGTAATATATGAGCAAAATACCCGAACTATTAATGGTTTTATTAAGTTTCGGTAATTGAAAGAGATATGTCGAAGTAGTGAATTTTTCGTAGTGTGATGGGCCTTCGGTGGTGAGCATTTTAAATGTCTTGTAAATGTTTTGTAGTATTTTTAATACTTGGATTCTTGATTTGAGCTTTTCGTTGAAGCGATCCCAGTGACCGATCGATCATATAACAGTACATACAAAAAAAATATTTGAAAGGAATTTCGTGGTGTGGAGAAAACCATAAAAATTGGTTTGGTTCCCGACTTTTGTCAGTTATACGTCACGCACACTTCGTGCCATTTTCTTTATAAATAACGATCGTCACACGCTTTATTCCTTCGTTGATAATTTATTGGTATCTGGGCATATTTTGACCAAATACGCCAGAAAAATTGACTAACCAAAACTGACGAATTGATCACTTGTCAGCGGCCATATGCATGTTGAAGGCCGCAGGATTTTATTGCTTGGGAGCAAATTCTGCAATACGAGCCCGCGCATATTGAAACTTTTTTGAGTTTGGGAGTGAGGCAAATGATATATTTTTCTGTAAACTTTGATATTACAATACGAAAATCGAAAATTTATATTGGCGAATTTAGCTTTGCAGATAGCGCCGATAAAGAACTGTCACACAAAGTCCCTAAAGCGGTCTTCAGCCCAGATTTCGAAGACAAAAATGATCGCAAAGTGGATGTGAGTCGCACTGAGAGTGACTATTCTTTGCTTCTTACCACAGATCCGTTCGTTTTTGAAGAAGACCAAGAACTGGACACGCAAGGGTTAGATTTACTTTTATAATAGGTCTTTGACCAACTTTCTTGAATTATTTTGAATGCAAGCAATTTAATGGACCTCAGAGTGACGATTAAGATTACATGGTACGTTTATCGTCATTAGCGTCAAATAGTGCCTGTAAAAAGAACACTTTGTATCTTATTGTATTATTACATTCTAAAAAAATTTAACTTCTGATATAATGAATATTGATTTAAAAATTATATTGGAACGACGAATTTTTATCTTACCGACCACCAATATCACTTTAATAGTGTGCTGTATTATATTATCACTTGAACTTATCACATACAGGGTGTTCACAAAATTTTGAAGCTACTAGAATTAGCAACTTTTTTCTCGGCTCTACAGAAATAAAATCTATCAACAACATTGCAAAGAGGATTCGTGATACGGATTAAATATACATTATTCTTCAAAATATTAGCGTCTTATATCTTTAGAACCAAACATTTTATGATAATTGTGTGTCATAAAAATTGTGTTTATTTTAGCTACATTTATATTATTTTGTTGGTTGATTGCTGGCCTGACCAATGACTTTTTTCTCCCAGTCCGTTTACTATCTCATACGGTATGTTTTTAAGAATTTTTTGGTCCTAGAATATCAAGACATTCAGAGGAACAGGATATATATCATTTTTGAGTGAATAATTAAATTAATTTAATAATAAGTCAAATCTTAATGAGCTGAATTATATAGAGGTTTCTAAAGTTATTTTTATGAACAGTACTCCGTGTTTTATGCAAGTAAGTGAAACCAATTTTCCTCTGAATGGGTCATATTATGCTTAGGATTACCCAATGAAGAACTCTAAAAAACTAATAAGATAGTGATCGTAGTTATTATTCTCAAATATAGTTTCCCACAGCTGAACGTAAAGCTATGCCCTTTACCAATAAATAAAAAAAATCCTTTAGCACGAGTATAGGGGTACATTAACAACGTTTCAGTGTCGACGAATATACCCTTACTCAAAAATCGGAGGAAACTCAGGACACCAAAGTGCGCGATTTGAGCTCGCAACTAACACACGTTTACCCTAGCGAGGAATTATCTAAAAATGTTGGTGAGTGCTGTCTTTTTTTTAACAAATCCCAAGCCTTTAGAAGGGAACTCATGTCTACAGCAATTTCCCGCATCGTTCAAAGGTTACCAAAGTTTGTAGGCGAGCCAAACGCCTTTTGCATCGAAGTAGCAGCCTGTCACGCAGATCACGAGTTCAGCATATACCAAGTCACACGGTTCGATAATTTAATTGAGAGTCGCCTATCTATCTGTTTGCAGGTTTTGGAGGCAGTGTTTCAATGTTTTCCCAACAAGGAATATTGCATCATGAGTCTGCCATGCAGCGCGAACGTGGAGCCATGGATGTTTCCGTTTGTCAGGTATACAGTGTGGTCCATGACAGTGAGCAGTGACTAAATTGGCAAATTCTTACGGATATTTTTGATTTTTGTTCTGTAACTTGACAACTACTTTGGTAAAAAATTATGCGAAACTTCAAACTTTTTCATATTGATCTTTTGGGATCACAATAAATCATGTTTTTTTTTGTTAATCGTTTATTTCAATAGTATGTAAAATACTACCACTAATAAAGATATTTCTACACAGTGAAGCTCTGGCGTCGAGAGAAATATTATAAAAATAGTTGAATAAAATGACAGTCCCTCTAATATTCTATCAAAATGAGGATCAAAAGGTACAGAAGAAAGATATCTTTATCTAGGCAAAACAAATTACTATTTGGGAAAACTTTATAAAATTCATTTAATAAAACATATGTTGACTTCCATGATATTTATGAGATAAAAAATAAAAACTATTTTATTACATGTCCATTGATCATAATACTTATTTATTATTATAATTTGGGGTTAAATCAACCCCTAATCTCTAGAAACAACTCTGTCAAATTTCAAACAAATCGGTAAGAACATATTTACATTAAGTCAAAAAACATTGTTTAAAAAAATGTACACCCCGTATCTAGAAAATAATGCATTTTATGGGAACTCTTGATAAAATGATCTGAATTAAATATTGCCGCGTCTTTTTTAAACACTCTATATAGCTGGTCGGCCGGAAAACGTCGATCTTTTTGATATACAACTTTTTATACATAATTTTGAATGACATTTAGTTGATTCGTGCGAGTTGGAGTTTAGACTACCCCATATATATCGTACTGCAAAACAGTTTCAATTAAGAGCAAAGTATCTAATAAACCAAAATATGTCTTTATCTTTAGACCCGATTGAGATAAAAAATAAAAATAAATAAATTTTTATTTTATTTTTTACCAAAATACATACTTTGTTTTGTTTGTATTCAGATTTAATTTATTGTAGTACAAACATTTTAGATAACGTTGAGTATTTTTACAGGGTGATTCGAAGACCGACTAGTACTTATCCATACGAACTTTATGCATCCCATAAGAACGCTATTTTAGGACGACTAGAAGTTTGTGTAGGTGGTTATACCTTAAACTCTTTTGCGTTTCTAAAAACATCTCAAAAATCTGCATTTTTGGTTACATATTTCACAGGCTGCCGTGAGAGATCGTATGACTGAAATCCAAACTCTCCTCAGTAGCATTCCTAATCACGCTGTGATCCTTTCTCAAGTTGAAAATTGTTTAGAATGCCCAAGCAGTCCCTATGAGTGTTTCTTGTTTCTATGCGAACGACAAGTCATAGGACTGGCAGGTAAATAACACAATGTTCTCTAGTTTTCTCAGTATACTGTTGTTAGTGTTATGTGCTTCAGCTGACAACTGTCATTTTTAATATAACACATTCAATATTTCAAAAACTGTCAAAATTGTGCCATAATTTTCTGTCGAATTTTATTAATTTTGTTTTAAAGTTTTTTAAAGAGACGTCCTCAGGCTCCTGTATTACTATTTAAAAATCTTCTGGATTGAAGAAGCCGACAAGATGATTGGCAAAACGTCACCAAGTATTTATAAATAGTTTTTTTTTAAATATTTTTATTTCTTTCTGTGTATACTTGTAAGCGTAATTCTTTATGAAACCTGTAAGTAAAAGGTGTCACAAATATTTAAAAAATAAACCAAATTTCCAATTAAATAGTTTTAAAATGATTATTTCCTTTTTGAAAGACTATTTGACTGAGTTCAATTTTTTTCTCTAACAATTTTGCTCCTAATGGAACCAGCATGATACAGGCTCATTAACTCCTTAAACTTAAAAAATAATAAATGAGATACTATTATGAAACTTAGTGATTGTAATTAATATAAATTAATAAAAAAATAATATTTTTTTTAATTAATTTATTTTTTGTTGTATTTTTTTGAGTCGTCCCTTTCTTAATTTTAATAAAAATCAACATCACCTTATTTGGTTTTAAAATGTTAAAACCACATTGACATCAAATCAGACCTCCAAAAAATGAATAACGTTTTTCATTGTAAGGTGATGGAAGCCAGTGTGATTTGGAAAAAAATTGACTCATCCAGGATTGTGATTTTCTTTGAAATCAAGTGTATAAGATAAATTTAAGGAAAAACACACACGTACTCAGTGCTGGTTTGATTCCCATTTCTTTAAATCAGAGTAAATAATCAAGTTTGTCCGAGAACACCATGTATAAATTTCCCGTAATGGATTGTGCATGTATTATAATAATTATATGGTATATCTTAGTATTATCAGAAGAACACGATGTTGCATACCAAGACTCGTTCTACAATATCCGACCGTGGATTCGACCAAAATATTACAAAAACGGTAGCTTCGGAGTTATAGAAAGCATAGCCGCGTCTCCAATATTTCACTGTGGATTCGAGTAACATTTTTAAGGAAATATATGAATCTATTTACCGTCATATGATATTTAGGTTTTTCAAACGAGAACTTCACAGACTCAGCTACTACCAAGTTCTTTTCTACAAGCACCAAAAGTCATCCAAGGAGACGCTACCTTTACCAAACGACCTGCACTGGCTGATTCCCGCTTTGCCTAGACAAACGCCTGAATATGATTATAAGAGACTTTCGGAAGAAGGTAAACGCTCAACTTCCGCCCCTTAAAAATAACCAATTAAAAAAATTCTCAAGGTTACGACGTTTCGAATGCAATATTCCCCAAAGATCCCTACAGCCTATATCTCAGTTCGACAGCTTCTTGTAGCATCTCTAGACTGCCGATCAACACCCGCATCGTAGTGGCCGGTTGCAGCAATACAGCTTACGCTTTTATGGAGTCACTGATTTTCAAACAGACAAATACGAATTACCAGGTACATAAACGTAATGGATATGAGATGGACGCGATATCCTACCGACTGCGCCGCTTGTAGGTGACGTTTAACAATATTACGCTAGTGTGCGCTGACGGAATTAATCCTAAAATTCCGAAAAAGGCGCAAGAATTCTTCGCTGTCCAGAAAAATTTCATCACTAGCAAATATCTGGATACGATCCGCCTGGAAACCTACGTCAACGTTGTAAACGGAGTTCTCACGGAAATAAATCGGTATATCCCTTCGTATATCCTACCTATTCGCAAGGGGAATAAAGGGCAACGAGAAAAGATACTGTAAATTATTTTCCTTCAATGTCCATTGAGATCATTATATTTCATGGTCTTTGCTCTGCCTGTGATAGGATAGTGGTGGCTTAACGTATTGTATTAAAAAAAAATTGTCAAATTTCTACGCTTCCCTAATACCCTACCCCGTTGCCCTTGTTTGCCTTGTTGCAACTTGTCTACCAAAATTCACTCTATAGACCGAAACTGGCTAACCTGTGACTCTTTGAAGGATTATTTGTGACTCTCGACTAATGTGCCCGAGCTCCCTTTTCAATTTCGTGTTATTATATTTTGAAAGGAAAAAGAACATAACCTACTCAGAATTAAGCGATGACGAGAGGTTACAAGACTTAATATCATTGACTGACGTCATGCAACATTTACAAACACCGAATTTACCCCTCACAGTGTATGTTTAGCGTTCAAACTAAATTGCAACTTTTTCAAAAGGACATTACAAATAAAACATTCTGTTATTCAAAAAATCAGTGAAAAACTAGAAAGAATATGAACGGAATGTTAAAAGAGATTTCAGTATTTGAAATATTTTAAGTCTGTTGATTTTTTTTCTAAATACATTTGAAATTAATTCAAGGTGAGTAGTCCTTTTCCAATATAATTATTATCCAATCAGCCATCTGGAGAATTAGAATTAATAGAGATGCACCAATCAGTCAAGAGAAGAAAAATAAATGTGATTAATATTTAAGTTCAATACACATATTCTTGTACTTTTATTTATATGCTTTCAATCAATATTTATGTACCAAAATTTTCGGGTTTTTCGCCTTTTAAAAACGTATTTTATTATGGTCGCGCAAAATTTCAAATTTTGAATGCCACTATTAGGGAGCAAATAATGATATATAATAATACCAAAAAAACTACGAAAGCTGAAAATTTTGGTTTTTTCCTTTTTTCTATAAGTAGCGAATTGAAATTTGAAAAGGTTTAAATTTAAAGTATATCAGTCTCTATGCCCCTTTTTTGAACGTTTTTTAAGAAGTTTTATTTCAAGTTATAAATTTTATTTTATGGCAAATATTGAAATAACTTGTCGATCACATTATTATTAACATTATTAACATTTATAATGAATGAAGTGATTAAATATTCTTCCATTTAAATAAATGAGCAAGAGAAAGACAACAATCCCCATTATAAAATTTACCTTAATTTTCACGCCGTTGCGATTCCAATTTAAATTTTCTTCGAAATTCGTTTTCAAATTTTCCTTCCCTGTTTCCCAAAGAATTCCTAACTCGTTTGTTCTCTGTTTTCACCAATTATCTTACGTGTACCCTTTAATGCCCCCTTGCATTGAAAGTGTACAGCGTGGTTGACCCACTATCCGCTCTAAGAAATAGTAAGATCTCCAAAAAGAGTTTAATACAAAAGTTTTTCTACACTTTTTTGACAAACAAACTCTCATAGCGAGAATATTTTTCACATCTTTAAATTTATAGCAAATACAAACTCCATTAGAAAGTTTCTACCTGGCCTGAAAAAAAAACAACCACATAAAAACCATGTACAGTCACGTCAATACATGAAGCTTTTGTATTAAGTCATTTTGCGTGAACTATAAAAATTCTTAAGTTCCACCAATTTCTTCCTGGCTGCCTTTTCCATTCACTCTGTTCAACTTTCTGCATTAAATGCGTTTTTCCTTCTTGTTTTATTATTCTCCATCGATAACTAATGTGATGCGACCTTCGACACTCAACTTCAATCGACACTGCTTTTTTGTTTAATAAGAAAAGACCAGTACATCGTAATCAACGACCAAGCGATGTTGCAATACGATCTTTTGTTCTTAATGTGCGGGGAGGAATTTCAAATGCCGCTGAAAAGCTATAAGTTACCGTTCGTCGAGACCCCGAACAATGTGTTCCTTATAAACGGACCTTTAGACGGAAATCGAGCAGTTGCAGAATTGAAAAAAATGCGAAACCATCGAACTCTGGAAGGTAAAGTGTGGCTCAAAGTATATCGCCTTGTTATTTGCAAAATCAAAGATTTAATTAATTAATTTAATTCATTAATTCATTTAACATATTGTCTTATCTGGATTTACCTAGATGAAATCTATCGCAAGGATGAGTTGATTCCAGTAAAAGCTGTCAGACAAAAGAGGGACTTATTCCAAACTGCATGTTGTTGTCTATGAAAAATATTACGGACTCTCACCGATTATCTTGAAAATGCAAGGGCAAAATTAATTTAATTCCGGATAACAGTATCATTGTAATGAATAACGCAAGGTACCATAGCACCAAATTCATCAAGTACAAAAATTTAAATTCAATAATTGTTACAAAATGATATTTATTTTGAATCCAGTTCCAAGAAAGAGAAATTTTGTGTTAAGTGTTACATTCATATACTATGAAACAACAATATGAATAGTTTAGCTGAATATACTGTTTTACGTCTTAATCCATATCAATCATAGAATTTTTGTGACACCAAATAAAATCACGTATGAGAGCAGAAAATAAAACGGAATTAAATTTTAAATAAATTTTTACGTAATTATTGATAACTTGTATATATTTAGTGTCATCTATTAGTATTAATACAATTTTATTATAACTAAATAAATATAATTAGATTTTTAAAAGTTTATTTTGACATTTGTCATTAACTGTAAAGACGATATACTTTGAGACGAAGTATGCGGTATGAGGTTAAAAAAAATATTTGAATGGAAATATTTCAGACACCGTGATTGTTTATGGGCATTTTCTGCAGTCGTACGTCTGTTTGGCGGGATTGTTAGAATACGGGGTACCAGGTTCATGCATTGTCTTCGTGGAACCTTTTCCGTACCGCATGGCGATTGATCGAAAACGGAGGCACAACATATCCATCTTTAATGACTCCGAAATTTATCACGCAGTAAGTACCACGTAGTGTCATGCAATCATTTTTAAAGTCCACACCTAAATTAAGATTTGTAGGGACTTTCGTTTGCGAGGCTACTAAAATTAACCCTAAGTCACTGTAGCCCAATCCAATCCAATTTGAAAATTGTACTAAAACAGTTTTCTTTACCAATATTGAAACCAGAATTGAAACTTCACAAAGAGTTGCTCGAATAGTTTATCAGAGAATCAATTTAACGAAAATGGGTCCTGCGAAGGGCGAGCCATATGCTACCGAATATTTCATTAAGGCTCAGTGAACATTTGGGTACAAAAAGTAGATACACATGATGAACCTATTGAAAGAGTTGACAGATCTCAGGAAATAAAAATCCGGATCGCAAAAGCACAGAGTACTTTTATGAAGTTGAGACAAATAGTCTGCAGTAGAGATCTTAACCTAGAACTGAAAATATGGCTCATGAGATGTTATGCTTTGTCAGAAAAACGATGTGAAGAAAATAAAAGCTTTGGAGGTCGAGGTTTATCGCAGAACGTAACGAATTTCATAAGTGCAGAGAATAACCAATGCTGAGGTGTCAAGACGAATGAAAAAAGAGGGTGATATAGTCGATGACTATTAAAAAGAAAATACTGCTATACATAGGACACATTATTCAACTCATAATGCACGAATGGTCCAACACCACCAGTAATACGCATAGCTTTCATAATTGCCAACCTTCGGAACGAAGAAGAAGATCAGTGAGTGGAACCTCCCGAGAAAAGTCTGAAGCAGACCAGTAAAAGTCCTTCATGAAGACACTACAGGTGTAATTCGAAGAAAATTTATTTAAAAATAAAATACTCAGCCGAGATAAGATGGAACTTAGCAAAGATGACAGTATTCCGTTGAGAACTAGAAAACTTTTAGGCGCCACTTTCAGTTATGCGATTGAAATTGTTTGGTGACAGAAATACTTGGGAAGTGTGAACCCGTATCGAAAGAGAAAAATCTTGATAAAGTATATAGTACCAAAAAGACGAAAATTTAAGAAGTTTTCATGGAATGTAAGCCGAGAGGTATTAAGGTGTCTTCAGGAAAAGGGAAGAGACTAATTATAGATAATAATAGAGCTATCAGTTGTGCGATATGGAAGATTACCACGATTTCAGATGTTTTGAAGACTGTTTTGTTGAAATGACAGTGACAAAATAGTGTTACTATGTTGCGCCAATTTGTAGTAAGACACAACACGACATTGAATCAGCAATTATTTAGAGCTACAAGCCTAGATGCAACAATAAAAGTGGTGAAGTATTTGTTAGATCACTCTAGTCCCTCTACTACCTAATGAGGTTTTATCAGCCTCTAAAATAAACTTTAGATAAACAAATCCTAGTAATTAAATTTTCCTAAGATACTCTAAAATACAAAATTTTCCATAGAAGAAAGGTGAGTGTTAGTTTGGAAATGCACATTTTCTATAAACTCCCTAACATTGGAGAATAACGGCCCCCGCACCCAGACATTAATTTTCCTCTATTTCTTTTAGAAAGGGCAATTCCCAATCTGACTCGCCGGATACATGTAAACGCTTTCATTAAATTTAACGATGTATACTTCATCTTTTTTTTGAGATTCGTTTTCCTCAACTCAAAATTATTGTATTATATTATAATACTCATATTATATAATATATTATATATATATATATATATATATATATATATATATATATATATATATATATATATATATATATATATATATATATATATATATATATATATATATATATATATATATATATATATATATATATATATATATATATATATATATATTCTCACGTATTGATTCACGGATGGAAAAATATGATGACACTATATTCCGGGATATCATCCGTTCGCTCGTTGAACTCCGACTGGAATCCTGCATCCGACTGGAATCCTGCAAATCCTGCATCCGACTGGAATCCTGCAGACGTTTCGCCAAAATCTCACTTGGCATCTTCAATGCTCGCGCTCCGAAAACACTTCGAACAGTGTTCGAACAGTGTTCGAAGTGTTTTCGGAGCGCGAGCATTGAAGATGCCAAGTGAGATTTTGGCGAAACGTCTGCAGGATTCCAGTCGGATGCAGGATTTGCAGGATTCCAGTCGGATGCAGGATTCCAGTCGGAGTTCAACGAGCGAACGGATGATATCCCGGAATATAGTGTCATCATATATATATATATATATATATATATATATATATATATATATATATATATATATATATATATATATATATATATATATATATATATATGATGACACTATATTCCGGGATATCATCCGTTCGCTCGTTGAACTCCGACTGGAATCCTGCAAATCTTGCATCCGACTGGAATCCTGCAGACGTTTCGCCAAAATCTCACTTGGCATCTTCAATGCTCGCGCTCCGAAAACACTTCGAATGCTCGGAGCGCGAGCATTGAAGATGCCAAGTGAGATTTTGGCGAAACGTCTGCAGGATTCCAGTCGGATGCAAGATTTGCAGGATTCCAGTCGGAGTTCAACGAGCGAACGGATGATATCCCGGAATATAGTGTCATCACATTTTTCCATCCGTGAATCAATACGTGAGAATATATATATATATATATATATATATATATATATATATATATATATATATATATATATATATATATATATATATATATATATATATATATATATATTTATATATATATATATATATATATATATATATATATATATATATATATATATATATATATATATATATATATATATATATATATATATATATATATATATTTATATATAAATATATATATAAATAAATAAATAAATAAATATATATATATATATATATATATATATATATATATATATATATATATATATATATATATATATATATGTTTAATATTCAAATAAGTGCAAGAAATAATAGAAAGTTTGGATAGCTGACTGAAGCCCCGATTTTGAATTATTTCTTGCTTATTTATTTAGATATATCATCTCTTCGAGCAGCAGATATGGTCTGTTCACACATATAAGAAAGTGACCAATTGCTTTTGAATGGGATTATCCAAGGGTGGTCATTAACATACAATGCAACAAGATTATTACCTAAAGTTTCGGAATTTATTTATTATTCTTTTGATTTTATTTTATACCTACCTGTGTTTAATATTCTTTGGTTTGGTATACTACTTAGTTTAAGTTTATTGGTAATCATTCCTACTTCGTGTGTAATACAGCATGTGCTGAATCGTGTGCAAATTATGTAAAATATTGCGAGTCTAGTGTATCTCAGGAGATGCTCCTGCTCAAATGTAGAAGACACTATTCTATTGAGACGAAGGAAGTTATAAACAATGTTTATTTAACTCTCATTGTATGTGGTGCCAGCAAGCAAGCATCTTTAGAAGAGACGGCCACATTGACGAAAATTCCAACATCAACTGTATGGAAAATTGTGAATTTCAGCGAGGAAAAGAAGAAGCGATGCTGACATTTTCTCCAGTGTAGATGAAAGTGAGCAAGATATAATACGGCGTAAAATTTACCAGTTATACGAGGAACAAAGCGTGCCTATATTAGATATCTTAATTAGGAGGCTTGAAAAAGATGAAAAGTGTATTCAACACATGGGTTTTAGATTTAAAAAAAATGACAAATTGATTCGACACTTATGATACCCTGGAAAAGGGTTGGGTTGACTCAACTGATAAATGTAAAACAAACGCGCCATCAAAAAGAGATAAAAGAATAACTATTTTGCATGCTGGGGCCTCTAAAGATGATTGGATTCCAAATGGACTTCCTCTGTCAGCGAAAAATATTAAAGATTCTTCTCTGGATTACCATGAAGACACCACCCCTGATTTATTTGAAAGTTGGTTTAAAAACAAACTAGATCCAAACATTCCTCCTAATAGCGTAGTTGTAATGGACAATGCAAGTTACCACAGTAGACAGTGAACTAAAACCCCTTCCTCATGTGACACAAAAGCCACAATCCAAAACTACATGTATAATAACGACATTTATTTTCACGAAGATTATACCTAAAAGCAATTAATTGAGGTTCTACAAAGCTTGAACCTACCAAAGGAATACGTCTGTGATATTTATGCAAGAAATCTGGGGCACACAGGTTTAAGGCTTCCACCTTACCACTGTATATTTAATCCCATTGAACATGTTTGGCACCAACTGAAATCTGCCATTGGTCGTAACAATGTTTTTCCCCGTGTACTCCAATGTCCTCAAACTTATAGAAACCGAAGTTTTTAACATCCCTCCACAAAGTTGAGCAAATGCTGTTAAACATATAGAAACGATTGTTCCGCAATCGTATGTCGATACTGCAAATAATATAGAAGAAATAATAATTTGAACAGGCGATGATAGCGATAGTGATACTGATATATTATGTGAATAATTTTAAGTAATTTAAGTAGGTAATAAAAATAATTTGTAATTTTATTTTAGATTTAAACATAAATACATACATAAATAAATAAATATTGTTTAGTATATTTCCTAACAAAACCCCAAATAATTAAATTCTAAGCAAAGTACGGACCTGTTCGGCCATATTTCATTCTTACAGCTTGCCCGGGTCTTTCCTTAATTCGCATCAGTTAGTCACTTTCTTATATCTATGAACAGACTTTACCAACCTAACTGCCTGTCATTTTTAGACGATCAAATTCATACGAGCGCAAGGCGTAACGGTATACCCTTCGTATTATTTTATCGACTGGACGTACTGTCCAAAAGAGAATCGAATTTCAGCCGCAAAGTTCGAGTCGAAACACAAAATGATAGAAGTGAAATGTCAAGCCGCCTTTTTCTTTTACGAGAAAGGCGTCAGCCGCAGAATATACCAAGTGGTCAGCAAAGCAGGACTAGTTTTTGACGGTAAAGTATTTAGTAATTTTTATCGGAACTCCAAGGGCCCCAAATACAAATTACATTAATGAGTCTATGCCCGGTACTTACAATATGTTTTGGTTACGAATGTTGCCGTATGATGCAGAAACTGAGATTCTAAGTTGATATTTGCAGGTTTGAAGTGGTCTTCGGTACAATATGTTGCGGATAAATCAACTTTGACTGTATTCTAATCGAAATCGACAAGGATAGGAAACTGTATGAACCAGAAAGTGAGATTGTAACTCAATATCTAAAACATCATTTTATGATACAAATAGCAACTTTTTTTTCTTGATTTCGATCAGATTCTAGTAAAAATCTGGTTTACTTCAATAATATGTAGTATATTAATAGTCTAACTTGCAATCATTAACTGGAATTTAATTCAGAGCGGGTGATCTCGAACCAAACGTGAAACTGGTAATGTTATTTATAGAATCTAGAAATTTAGAAGTAACAATAACTAAACAATGGAATTGTGGCATAATAGATAACACGGAGTGTACAGAACTTTTAATGACGTCATATATGCCGATGCCAAGTATCCATAAGCCGCATGACTTGCAATAGTTGAGTGACATCCATCAAAAGGCACTAAATAGCAAACTACATCAAACAAACTATTTTTGTAATCAATATCGACATAAACCATACAATGCAAACTTATATAAAAACGGCGCAATCTATAAATTTTACTTCCTAAGTAGCTTCACATCCTTGCCGTCAGAAGACTCATTAAATTGGAAAATCGGTTGATTGGCTAGAAGAGATGACGTGTGCTTTGAGTCGGTGTGGGTTACAGGTTAGATTTTTTAAACAGCTCACTTAGCCCTAAATAATATTGTTCGATTCTCGCTTTCTGTAGACGTGCGAATGAAATTAATGCGTTTTTGGGGTAGATCAGGTTAAATGGAAACCAGCAAACATGAAACTCATATGAAAACAGCGCAACAGTTCCAAGTAGATTGACATTTTCTATTTTATGTATGAAATAAAAAATGTCCTTCGCAAAAATGGATTGGGAGTTTTTTGCAGTGTTAGCAGATGAATTAATGAGATCGCCTTATCCCTTTCTTTTATATTTTCATGTTAGCATTTTCTGGAGTTTGAATTTAAAAAATAAACAACATTAATGCCAAAAGTGATTAGCAGTCTTGAATCATTGAATTAGTGACATGAAAAGTTGTATATACGACGTCATTTCACCCTTTATCCGGCAGACTACGTTGTATCGATTTTCAACAGGTCGTTTGGTAGTCGATAACGACTGCAAAACGAACGACGAGCGGATCTACGCGGCCGGCACTCTGACCAAATATTCCAGGAAATATTTCGCTTCCAATATGGCGCACAAGTTTTTTAACAGAGTCGAAATAGGGCGTAAGCTGGGCCGCCAAATCAGGAACATGCTTGTGCCCGGACACGTTAGGCGGTCTAATTCAAAGAAACTTGGGTGGAACTTCCATCTAGACATTCGTAATAGGTAAAAGTGGTGTAGCAGCAGTGGTATGGTCTGTTCATAGATATAAGAAAGTGACCAATTGCTTTTGAATGGAATTATCCAAGGGCGGTCATTAACATACAATGCAACAAGATTATTACCTAAAGTTTCAGAATTTAAATTCAGGTAAAATTGTGGTCCGTAATAAAAAATAATTTTATACCTAACTGTGTTTAATATTCTTTGGTTTGCTATACCACTTAGTTTAAGTTTATTAGTAATCATTCTTATTTCGTGTGTAATACAGCGTGGGTTGAATCGTGTGCGAATTATAGAAAATATGTGCTAGTCAAGTGTATCTCAGGAGATGTTCCCGCCCAAATGTAGAAAACACTATTCTATTGAGACTAAGAAAGTTATAAACAATGTTTATTTGACTCTCAATGAACGTGGTGCCAGCAAGCAAGCATCTTTAGACACACACACATTGACGAAAATTTCAACATCAACTTTATGGAAAATTGTGAATAATCCCATTTCAGCGAGGAAAAAAAGAAGCGCTGCTGACAGTTTCTCGAGTGTAGATGAAAGTGATCAAGACATAATACGGCGTAAAATTTACCAGTTATACGAGGAACAAAGCGTTACATTAGATATCTTAATTAGGAGACTTGAAAAAGATGAAACCGGTGTTAAATGTGGCAGAACTACCTTATGGAAGTGTATTCAACACATGGGTTTTAGATTTAAAAAAATTGACCAAAGGCAAGTTTTAATGGAATCTTTTAGAATTCGGAAATGGCTACTGGAATATGTAGAAAAAATTAGGATTTACAGAAAACATCAAAGGCCAATTATTTACTTGGATGAAACCTGGTTCGACACTTATGATACCCCGGAAAAGGGTTGGGTTGACTCAACTGATAAGTGTAAAACAAACGCGCCATCAAAAAGATGTAAAAGAATAAATATTTTGCATGGGGCCTCTAAAGATGATTGGATTCTAAATGGAGTTTCTCTGTCTGCGAAAAATATTAAATATTCTTCTCTGGATTACCATGAAGACACCACCGCTGATTTATTTGAAAGTTGGTTTAAAAACACACTAGTTCCAAACATTCCTCCTAATAGCGTAATTGTAATGGACAACGCAAGTTATCACAGTAGACAGTTGACTAAAACCCCTTCCTCATGTGACACAAAACAACAATCCAAAACTACATTTATTTTCACGAAGATTATACCAAAAAAGCAATTAATTGAGGTTCTACAAAGCTTGAACCTACAAAAGAAATACGTCTGTGATAATTATGCAAAAAATCTAGGGCATACAGTTTTGAGGCTTCCACCTTACCACTGTATATTTAATCCCATTGAACATGTTTGGCACCAACTGAAATCTGCCATTCGTAGTAACAATGTTTTTCCCCATGTTAACTCCAATGTGCTTAAACTTATAGAAACCGAAGTTTTTAACATCCCTCGACAAAGTTGGGCAAATTCTGTTAAACATATAGAAAAAGCAGAACAATCGTATATCCATATTGCGAATAATATAGAACAAATAATAATTAGAACAGGCGATGATAGCGATAGTGATGCTGATATATTATGTGAATCATTTTAAGTAATTTAAGTAGGTAATAAAAATAATTTGTAATTTTATTTTAGATTTAGACATAAATACATACATAAATAAATATTGTTTAGTATATTTCCTAACAAAACCCAAAATAATTAAATTCTAAGCAAAGTACGGACCTGTTCGGCCATATTTCATTCTTACAGTTTGCCCGGATCTTTCCTTAATTCGTATCAGTTAGTCACTTTCTTATCTCTATGAACAGACTTTATCCAGAACTAAACAAGGGCAAATTCTTTATTTACAAATTATAGCCATTTATTTAGCTAATTAGTGAGTTTATGAATTAAATGCGCCGTCAAAACAAAGAGCAACTTTGACAGTTCGAGTGTTTAAAGAGCCACTACATAATTGTGGTTGTTTGTAACACAAAAGTAATACAAAGTAGGATTTCATTTGAGCTTATGCAGATTGTCAACTAGTTCAAAATTTATTAGGAATTTAATGCTTTAGTGAAATGACTAAAAAATAAAAAAACCACAATTGCCGAACCTTTCCTAAATGTATTTATTTGAACTTCTGTAAACAAGGTAAACATATTTTGCAAAGAATATCTCCCGGTTTCCAAAATTTCAAAACACGAAACAATAAAATTATAACAATTTAAAAAAAGTTAACATAACAACGCTCGACTAGAGACAACCCAATTATGTTCCCGGTTGTTGAAATGTTCGACAACTCTGCTGGATTGAAATTTTGTTTAGAATATTACATTTTATATAAGGTCTAACATAGAGTACTTAATACAAAACTTATTAGTGATAAGATACAGTGCGATCTCTTTTGGTTTATTTATAAGAAAATATACTGGGTGTAAATTTTTTAAAAATTATACATTTTCGAAAAAACGGTAACAGATTTTACCAGCGTTTATTTATATTTTATTTATTCCTTAGTTTTTCTCTAAAACAGTCAACTATTTTAATGTGCTTTTATACAAGGTGTTACGAAAAATGTAGGTCAATCCATTAACCATATATTGTTTTGGCTAAAATTATAGGACCTTCCTTATGTCACATTTCATTTGAAAACTTTGTTTTTAATATATAAGGTGTTAAGGCTAACTTTAAAATGCATATTTATTAATTTATACAATGGTGTTTAATAAAAACATGAATTGTAATTTTATATTTAACATAAAATCAGTTGAATGCAGTTTCTTTTAATTAAATCAAACAAAAATTTTACATTATGTAAATTGGTGTCGCCTCCTTCGATTTATTTGACAATTGTCACAAATCGTAACGTGGTGCGATAACTGAAAATATCTCATAAAAGAAGCTTCAAATCAAAATTTTAAACAAGAGACAAAAAAAACTACAAAAAATTAACTCCACGTCCATAGACAGCAAAAATTAAGAGTCGAACTCACCATTGGTTTCTGTTACTTATTTGAAATTTTTTGCTAAATATTTACGGAAATATATTTCAGAAAGCAACCGGAGATATTAATAAATATATATTTTAAAAATTTAAATTTCACACTCTGTATATTGAAAACGAAGCATTTTAGTAAAATGTAACATATGTAAGAAAAAATGAAAAGCAAACATATAAAATAAAACAAATCAAATGGATTCTACAAAACTGTATCATTTGAAATCTACAGATAAGACAAAAGTTATCCTTGAACTGTTGACTAGATTTAATTGATATAGCTTCAAACGTTTTCTTATTCCATTGACATCCAGTATATTGAACCTTGAATGATACGGTTTTCTTCTTGTAGGCTTGTACCAAAATATGAACAACCCGTCATGCGCTACTGTAGGTTACCAGGAGGCCTGTATTATCTGTCGGTTGTGAAACCGGGACGTAGGATTCCCGTAGAAGCTGCCAGTTCTCAGGAAAACTACGTACGTACTCTAATTGGGTACTCTAGTACTCTAGTACTCTATTACTCTAATTAGGTATTCTAGAAGTTTTCGATTTTAAAACACCAACCTTTAAGAAAAAAAAACGCTCTATGTACCAAATACTTTTATCATAATTTATTCAGAATTTTTTTTTATAGGTTTTCGTGGAAAAATATTATCCCAAACCTTAACGGCTGATCTATTATATAAATTTGCTTGCCCAAATTCAACCATACATTTCAGTTACTTAAAATTAATTAAATTAAAAAAATCCACAATGTCGAAAAATAAAAATATTAAATGAAAAAAGAAACTGAAACGATAAACAAATAAAATTAAGACAATCAAATATTTTCTTACAATTGTACATTTTCTCTTTTATATTTTCCAAGAAGATATTCTAGAACAAAGTCAAACAATGCTAGCCTCTATCTGTTTCATTCCAATTTATTTGCACTTGAATTTTTAAAATAGCAATGTAAATGCATCTCTTTTTTAATATAATAGTTATAGTTATAATGCTAACCACTATACCGACGATTTAGGGTCAAGTCTTTGTAACAGGAAACTGTCGCAATCTGGATCAACAAGGTTTCTTCAAGTTACATTTCAGTGAATATGGCAGAGTCGACACCATAACTTGTTTAAGCAAATCTGTGAGCTTCTATAAATGATTATGCCATGATTAGCGTCAATAAAAACACTCTTTTAGCCCATAGACTTCAAAAATTTGTACTGTTTATGGGGAAAACACAACAAATTGCTGAACAATATCCAAAAGCGCTTTGAAATGAGCCTGATTTCTGATTTCTACGAGTATTTCAAGCAGCCGTGGGCGTATGCATTGTACCACGACCGATTTAACCAATTAATGAAAGAACTAAACAATTTGATGACCTCATCGGTGGTTGGGACTTAATATGATTGCCTCTTCCGGCATTGTTGATTTAGTTTGTTTATTGTAGGGTTCTGACAGAGAATGTCTGATTGCGGACGTGATAGAGCAGTACAAAGTTCGCAAATGGCAACCGGTAAATGCATTTTAATGTAATTCGTACGGTCTTTGAGGACTTTAGCCTTTTAGCTGACAAGCGAGCAAGAAGAGGCCCTCAACTCCAAGTTTTCCAACATGTTGTATCCAAAAATCATAGAGCAGATGGTGTTGAATTTTATCCAAGAGAATTCCGATTATTTGTGGATGTACGCCCATCCAACGCTCGTAAAGAATATGCTAGAAGGATTCGACAGGAGTCCGATGTTCTCTAAGCAACGCTATGTTACCTTGAACATGCAGTGATCGATGACTAAGGTTAAAATTAAAGTCTTATTATGCAAAATGTTTCAATGTTTTGACTTCTTGTATTTATCTTAGAGCACTCACCACGAACACAATAGTCATTGCAAGTAGCTTGAACGACTATTTATTACAACTCAGATGAGCTTTTCAGTTGTTTTTCCTGAACGATTAAATAAGTTTTCCGAAAATGTCTTTAAGAGATTGTTTCCTCTGCCAAACGATAATATCACATTTTCTCACGCTAAATTTACAATTTGTCTACGCGTACATATTTATTATATATATCTAGCGATTTTTAAAACGTCCTCCGACGTCATCAGATTCCCAATCTCCATCGATTTCTGTCCTTCCATAGTTCCTGCCGCTCTTCTCCAAAAGTCCATCTCAGTTGCCTCCAGCGTTCTCATGGTTCTTTCTTTTAGTGGCCAGACTTCACTGCTGTATGTGACTATGCTTTTAATCAACGTATTGTATATTAGATGTTTGTTTCGTCTCGTGATTTTTTGGTCCCACAAGAAGGTGTTCAGCATAGTAATAGCCTTTCTGCCTTGATTATTTCGTTCTTTGATGGGGTAGTCTAAGGTCCCACTGCTGGATATGTACATTCCCAGATATTTGTAGGTTTCGCAGTTTGATAGCCTGACCGTCCTCTAACAGGAGGTCGCGTTGTACTCCACCGGTACATATATACTTTGTCTTTGGTAAGTTTACTTCTAACCCCCATTTCTTGTATTCTTCTTAGCTTAGAGTGTATATGATTGCATTGTTAGGGGGGATTCCATATTTCTGCATTTTTGCTTCCATATCCTTAACACTAGTTTAAGATATATTTTGAACAGGGTGAGGGATACCTGGTGATTTTTTATTTTTTAAGTTTGTGCAAGTATGTTCTACCTCATTAATGCTGATCCTGGTCGGTGAAGCCGAAACCTGTATTATGCTAGGGCTGTCGTCTTCAAGGAACTGTTCTCGGTCCTCTGTTAAAAGCTTACGGAAATAATCAGCCCATTTATTCGTTGTGACGGGAGTTACTATCTCTCTCTCTTTGTGTTTTGGTGCAGAGATTTCAGAAGCTTCTAGCTTTCACTACTTTTTGTTCCTCCCAGGTAGGTATTTGGTACTGACTTTTAGAAAGGGAAGTTTACCTTTAAAAGTGTGCAATGTTCTCTCTTTAACTATGAGTATTTAAAGTCATTTTTTAAAAATAAAATACATTCTGCTATTCTGCATTGAATTTTCCTTTTTCGATTTTTTTACAGAAATTAGATTATTTACAAACATTTTAAATGATATATTGTTTGATCAATCCTTCCGTTTATACAATTGAAAAAAATAAAACAAAAGACAACAATTCCTCGTCTTTTTCTGATGTAGATTTTACTACTGTATGTATACATGTCTAGGGATCAGGCATTATGGACTATAATGCCAAGCAACATAATTTTCAAACTAACCCAGCCTCTAGACACTCCACAGAGAAGAATTTTAGGACCGTTACAGGAAACAATAAATATTTTTTCTTGTTATTGCACAATTTATTGGTTTTTGCATAAATTTAGAAAAGCTGTTGTGGTTAAATTTACGGTGGTAAGTCCAGTAAAATAAGTGGTAAACCAATAAATTTGACTTAGATTATAAAATTCCTTGCCTCCTATATTAATGCTTGCCTAAGGAGAGATCCAGACAACGTCGGTAGTAAATTGAATAGAGTATCTTCTGCAATCTTAAGATCGAGAGACTCATTTTTTCCTACAAGAGAGCTTAGAGATGGGGTGATTTTTAAAATGGCTCCTAGGCGGTCGTGTATGCATATACATTTTTAAAATAGCAATAGCAATAGAGAATATAGCCAAAATTAAATTGCATGTTCTATAACACCATAATTTGACCCTCTGAAACCTCAAAATCTCTTCCATTAAAAAAAATCCCTCAAGAGTCTCTTCGAACGCTTCCTACAGCCTTGATTAATACGAAGTAATTATGAAAGCATCTAGAGTTGAAAACAAAAATATTAAATTTTTAATAATTGTAAAATAAATATTCTTAAGTAAATTGATGCACTTGGTATATTATCTGTATCTTATAGTTGTTATATGTTACATGAAAATGCTCGGAACTACAGGCATACAACTCTAGAATGAAATCTTAGCGGTTGCTGGAAAACTGTTTAACTAATACATTTAAGACTTTTTTGAGTATAATACGACCAAAAATATAGTGCATTTATTGGTTTGACGTTTTAAGTATTTTACAGTAACTTAACCTCAGATCTTCGCAGGACCGTGGTAAAACCTATCCCAACAGATGTTTATTCTGCAATAAGCAGGCCTTTGCCTGAGATGGACCGTAACGAATATTTGTAGAAACTTGAAATTTTTATTTGAAACGGAAACGGATCGTTTTAGATTTGATTAAGCATTGATTAAGTAGAAGCGTTTATTTTAACATCAGGTGATATGTATCATTCTCAAGAGTTTAATCTAAATTGCAATGTGTTCGTCTATATTACGAAGGTATTTGACTGTGGTCCTTCCGTATTTATGTACCTGATTCTGGAGCTTTGGCCCTGCGAGGCTGTTTTCGCCGGTTAGTTCAAAAGGTAAGAGTAAATACCTGTACTCTATTTATCTTACAGGTAAGTTTGAAAATAATCATTTTTGTCTTGTGTGCCTGTCGATTAACAACATTCTTCTTGTATTTTTGTGTCTCCTACATAATTATTCGATTTGCAAACAACAACAGTCTTTTTTAAGGCTATAGATTATACTCGTGGTAGGTAAAGGTACGTCATAAGAATACAGATAAATACTTATTAGAATCTTACAATTAAACATTTTTTGAAGGTTCCCGTTTTTTAACATTTTGAAATGTGGAGACCGTGGAATGCAGCAGATGTTCCCCTGTTAAAACAAAACATGGAAAACAAAGCAGAATTTGAAGACGAAGTGGAGATGGATGTCGAAACTAATGAAAATTTAGAAGACGAACTACCTCAGCAAATAAAAAAAAACGGATCCATTTATCTTCGGATGCTAAACAAATTGTTTTGAATGTTTATAAGAATTCAGGAGGGGCAGTAGCAGCAGCAATAAAAACCAGTGATAAGACGAAGTCTACTGTAAGAAAAATTGTTTCAAATGGGATAGTCAAGAGGAAAGTGAGAGACGGTACCGATACTTCGCGAGCAACACGCATATCTAATTAAACGTATAATCCACGACGCTTATAGAGTGAATAGTGTTTTAACCCTAGAAGAACTGCATAAAAAAGTACTTACGGACTTAAACATTAGTTGTGCCAAAAAATCGTTGCGTACTTTTTTGAAGAAAATGGATTTCCACATGGAAAACGCATAATAATCCTTCATGCTGGGTCCACAAATGGTTGGGTGAAAAATGCCTCATTTTTGTCTGCCAAAAACGTCAATGTTTCAAGTGTCGATTACCATGAAAACATGGCCGCGGAAATATTTAAGGACTGGTTTGAAAATAAACTGTTGCCAAAACTATCGCCAAATACTGTTATTGTGTTGCCTCGTATCATTCAGCCCAAATTAGAAAAATTCCAAATACTTCTTCAAATAATTAAAGAATTTCTGTACGAAAAGCTACACGAAAAAACAACTTCTGGAATTATTAAAAATAAAATATTTTAATAAAGACTAGAAAATCGATTCGATAGCACAACAAAGCGGACCCCCGTATCATTGTATATTTAAGCCGATTGAGATGATTTGGTCTGCGTTGAAAGCGCATATAAGGAGAAATAACACTGCACCAAAATTTTGTGATAGTACCATAAACGTAATTCTGCAAGAGGTAGCTAAAATATCAGTACAAAGCTGGTCTAACTGTGAAAAACGAGTGGTAAAAGAAGAAAATATTTATCGAGAACGATTAGTGGCAGGGTTGTTCATTGAACAAGGTGGCGACAGTAGCGATAGTAAAGATTTTTTAAGTGACTAATACTTTATTATTATTATATTTAATATTTTATATATTAATAATGATACTATGTAGAAATGTAATGAAATAGAACGTATAATTTGTTACTTTGCACTAATTTTTTTAAGTACATTTTCAAGAATTGCTAGGCGAAAAAGATTGAAAACATACTTATATCCCGCTTGTTAGTGTAGGTAAATAAATTCCTAGGACGGTCCTGGAATGGTTACGGATGTTCTATAAGGGGCTGCGGTTTTGGAGTAATAAACAGTAGGTCTAGTTAATCACGGGGTCGGTTGTGAAGGCACTATATTTCTGGTCTAAGTATACTCACCTCTTATATTTATGTATCATATAAAAACTTTAATTACATTTTAATATTATGTTATTATTTTGGACCCACCATTTGTTATATTAAAATCAAATAATACATATTATGACAACACATTAATTGTTTTGGCTCTGTAGACTTGTGTAAGGTCTGTAAGAGGATTAACAAAACGAAAACAAATTGTAAAATAAAGTAATACACTTTATTACAATCTATCGTTTAAAGGTTGCATTTAAGTCAAATTACACGGGCAGTTTAATTATTCTGACGCCAGCGGTGCAGAAAAAACACACACACCGTTTTAATTAAAGGCCGAAAAATTCCGCAATACTCACGCGTTCGTTATAATCCCTTCTTCGGATTTCCGACACCACCCACGGCAACATCGGGCTCGAGAATCTCCTGTCCATGGACGTGAATCCATGGTAAGTCACCGGTATCAACTTCATATTCGCGAATCGCGCACGGAATTACTGATTTTTGCAAAAAATCGGCATTTTGGAAAACGTTTGGACGCGAGAAGCGGGCAATGAGTCATCGGCCGTCGAAAATGTGAAAAATCGGAATCATTTCTTGACGTTTCGCGCGCGGGACACTGCCGACTTGATTATTGATCGACGGAACGAGGGAGGAAACGGCGACGATCGCGAGACCAAACACAATCGAAAGCGTGCTGCGAGAGGTTTTCGTTGAAGAATGGTGTGCTAAAACGCTAGAAAAAATCAACACTCGTAGCAACGACGAGGACAAGGTCGCCGCGGTTTTGTTGTTCTGCGGTATTATTATTTATAATGTTTTCGTCGTCGAACTCGTACGCGGTGCGGTACAGGGTCGTTTTGTAGCGAACCAACCAAAGGTTATTGAAAGAAGTCTAATTTTTGGAAAAACTTTATTTTGTTTAAAAGTTAAAAAGAAACTTGTTTTTTATTTATTTTTTGTTTAGCATTAAAAAAATTACTGCCTCGAAAAGGCGTTTTTTATTTTTTGTTAAATATTTAAAGAAAAACTTTTTTAATTTTTCAAAAAATTCAATTCAATTTTTCAAGAATGTTTTTTATTTATTTGTTCTTAAATATTTAAAAAAAAAAATTCAAAATTTTTCAAAAAAGTGTTCTTTATTTATTTCTCATCCTCATTTTTTAAAAACGTTTTTTTGTTGTTGTTTGTTATTGTTTAATATTAAAAGGTGTTTTTGTAATTTTTCAAAGTGTGTTGAGTATTTTTTGTTTATTTTGTGTTGTTTGTTTTTTGTTGTTTTTTTTGTTTGTATTGTTTGTTGTTTGAGTATTTTTTGTTGTTGTTGTTTCTTAATAAGTTTATTTTTTATTTTCACAAAAGTGTTTTCTATTTATGTATTTGTATTAAATATTAACAGTTTTTAGAGAAAGTGTTTTTTGTCTATTTTTTTTCTTAAATTTCGAAATTTTGAAAGACCTTTTCTTTTCAAAAATGTGCAAAAAGAGTCACTTTAAGACATATAACCGGAATAAACTGCACTTTGCGTCAATTTCTTTCTAAACAACTATATCCACATACTTCCTCCTTTTTGCCTGAAGATTTAATGGGAACATATTTTGAGAAAATACTGTCGTAAAAATGCCGCATCCAAACTTATTGACGCTTTGTGATGGGGCATTTCCAATTTTGTTTTTCAAAAGTTTTAAAAATTTGTTTGAATCTAATCTAATAATATGTAAACAACATGCCTTTATACAATATAAGAAATAAAATTTAGGATTTTAACTATTTATGTTGTTTTATGTTCTAAATTAATTTATCTGAAAAGAGAATCGTTAATAATAATATAAAGAGAAGGAATTTCTGATCCACGCGTTCTGTAAAGGGATGAAACATTACAGGCTTGTTTAACAATTTTTTATTTAAATTTATATTATTTATATTCAGAAAAATGTAACAAAAATAATTACAAACCCTTTCTACGGTCATTCCTGGTTGTATTATCTGAGTTAGAAGTTTATAGTAAACAAGTCATTGTGTAATCAGGCGAGTTCGACACTTATGAAAAATGTCTCCTGGTTTACCGTTCTTGGTAAGAAAAGAGATAAATCCAATATATTATACTGGCCCAATGATCCTGATATATTTAGTGCCATGAAAATAACAAAAAATTGAGGAACACTATTCAGTCCAATTATTTTAGTAGTTTTACCTGTTAGTTGCAAGAAGAAGAAGAATCAAAATTTTGAAATGGTCGAGTTGTCAGAGAAGTAGGAATCAACCGACTTTAGGAGGCCTGACAAGGATTCTGTGGTGGAGCATTGCACGCGGCGGTTTAACCTCTGTTCTCTCCCGACAGAATCCCATGTATTCGTCCCAAAAAGTTTAATATCGGTTTCCACGGTGTGGATTTAGTGTTTTGAGTGTTCAGTGTACGTCTTAAAGTGATAATCGTCGTCGGCCCCGTCGTTTTTCCCCGTTCACGCCGGTATGGAGGCCGGATGGGCCCGGATGGTCCGCGGTGGAAGCGGGGGGAAGCTGATTTTTTTGGTATCGGTCAGAATCGTTTTTTGCTAGTTGAGCAAATTATTGGTTATTTTTCTTCTTTGTACGTGGTGGTCATTGACCAGAAGCGAAAATCCTCGACGGAAGTCGGCAATGGGCGAATGATCCTAGCAGTCGAGCCCAACATTTTTTGTGAAACGCATAATTGAATTGAATTGAATTGAGGCCTGACAAATTTTTTAGTTATTTATTATCAAGGCAATGATTGTTCTATATGACAGATTTTCTGGTAGAGAAGAAATTTGTGCTGTTTTTGCAGTCGCACTAAATTACTATGATGAATTCACTAGCACGGCGTATGTTATTTGCAATCAGCCTTCGCAAATCTTACTCTCTTTACTGGAAGCGCAGGTTTAACCTAGAAATGGTATTACCAACAGTAAACAAATTTAGCTCCCAAACATTTAACCAAGATGTATGCTGGAAGTGCGGTCTAGAGCGAAAAAATATCACTAAAGTGTTTTGCGAAGAATGTAACACTGTACAGAACCCTTACGAAAGCGCCAACTACTTTAAAATCTTTAATTTAGAGGAAAAATTTGATATCGACCCAAAGGTACTACAAGGCAAATACAGAAGACTGCAAAGTGTTTTGCACCCTGATAAATTTACTACTAAGTGAGTGATATATTGCTTATTTTTTAAAATGTTGTGAACTACGTTATGGCTAATTTCAATGCAGAAGTGAGGAAGAACGAAATATCTCCGAGAATTTTTCATCATTAGTAAATAAAGCATATAACGAATTACAGCAGCCGTTAAAAAGAGCAGAGCACTTACTAAAGTTAAAAGGTGATATTGGTGAAAAAGAAATATCGGCAGAGCCAGAATTTCTAATTGAAATGATGGAACGAAATGAAGAGGTTGATTTAGTTGTAGTGTTATACTATCAACGAAATTGAAGTTTCTATGTTTTTAGATGGAAAATATAACTGATCCCAAAAAATTAAGAGAGCTAAATTTAAAAAATAAGAATGAACTCGAGAAAATCGCCAAGGATATTGACCAGTATTTTAAGGAAAACAACTTGGAAAAAGTGAAGCAGTGCATACTGAAGATGAAGTTCTATTCCAGTTTGGGTCACAGGATAAATTCAGTTATGAGAGAATTGGGAATTGTCGATTGAAATTCATAATAACTTTGTGTAAACAAAATTTGGGCTTCCTGTGTATATAGTGTATAAAATATATAAAAATTGTACTTGTACAGCAAAATTAGGTTATGCTACAAATACTTTTAAGATAATTACGTAATAAATCGTTAAAATGAGCTAGGTATATACAGTGACTATGCTCTTATTTATTTGTTTTTTCCACAATCTAGTTAATGAAAAACTAAGAGTTGATGGTATTCATATATGAACTCTGCTGTTTCGATATTTTAATAGTAGCTAATAATAGTAAATATTCTTTAAAACTCATTATACTTGGATGATGGGCTGCTAAATATAAACAATCAAACCTTTCACCAGTTCATTCTAACTACATAAAAGACAATAAAACATTATTCCTGGCTTTGTTATTTTTAATGGTATGTGGTTTGTAGAAAATGGCGCAAGAAAAAATTCCTGCCACAAAATTCATTTTTATCGTATTTATTACAATAACTGTTCCGATGAAATAAAATTTTGAATTGTTGCATTAATATTGCTTTTAAAAAAGACCTTTCAGTTATCAATCTCTGCAGTAAACTCAATTAAAATTACATGTTTTGCATTTAACAATGCTTAAATTAAAATTTAAAAAAAATATAAATTAAATTAAGTCAAGCAATACTTATAAGTTGCTTCCAAAGTGGTCAGAAACGCGTTTAAGATTTTTCAGAGTAAACCGTCCATAAAGGGTTGGTCAAGAGTTTCTAGGATTTGAAGGGCAGAAAAAAAACAAAGCTTAACAACAAAGCACTTTATTGCTAATGAAAATCTTACAAGGTTTCTGAGTTTAACAACTAGATGAGTTTGTTACAAAAAGGAGAAACAGAAAACAACAAATCTTCTATATTAGATTGAACATTAGGGATTTCTTCGAAAGAAATTAAAACTTACAATCTGACAACCTATCACATAAATAATCAATTTGATCCTCTCAAAACAAAAAGATATATTATAAAAATGTATGTACCGATTAAATTTAGTATTGTCAAGTTTTTTTTCAGGCTAAACTAACATTTTGGGCCGTTACATTTTAGTTTAATAGCGCACGGCACTGACTTAGGATTTAACTTACACTTATCGGACTTTCCGAACGTTTCCTCTTCGTGATACCCGATAATAAATAAGTTTATTGACTTTTACAACGTCCAAGCACATTACAATAATTATTCTAGGTAATACTTTTTAGTGCCGAAACTTTAAGGATAAAAATAACTAATAACTTACGTAGTGAGATATTTCGGGTTCAATCACATTATTACTGCGCAATCGCTTTATTGTTTCATGTACGGATACTCGATATCCTTTAAAGGAACGAACGTTTCTTTGATCGCTTGCGGGTTGCCCCATCGCAACACATAATGAGGACCTCCGGCTTTATCGTTTGTGCCTAATAAAAATAACTACTGTCATACTGTATGGTGTGTTATTCGTAACTCACCTGAGAGCCTAGCACCGCCGAATGGTTGTTGACCCACGACGCTTCCCGTCGACTTATCGTTCACATAGAAATTGCCCGCTGAGAATTTTAGGTGTTCGATTGCACTTTTCAGAAAGTTTCTGCAATAACATAAACATGGTTCGGATATACGTAATTTAATAGCCCACATGGGCCCACAGTTTTTTAGGTTTGCCTGTCATTTTTTTCGGCAGTATTTTCTCAAAATATGCGCGGGTCCAATTCGATTTTCGGGGAAGACGGGATATTTTGTTACCTTCACTTCAACAAGAAAATCTCTATCTACCAATATTCAGAAACTAAGACTTCATGAATCCTATTGTGAACAAGACGTAGACGGTAAATACAACAACTTTCTTGAAAGAAAATTTCTGGGCATACTGATTGATGAAAATCGGAAAACTAATGTACAAGTTCCATGAATTATCTAATATGTTATCTTTGGAGGGACTAAAAATGGTATATTTTTTCACTAAGAGTCTATAATGATTTATGGATGGTGTGGGGTAATGATATAAGACGCATGTCCTGGGGTTGCAGGTGGCTCAAAAATGGATTATAAAAACAATGTATTTAAAAAAAAAGCGATATCCGCCTAACTTACTTTTTGCGAAGAGCAAGCTACTTACTTTTAAACAACTGTATACCAAATCACTGATAATATTTATGTCAAAAATCAACTATGATAAAACCGAAATGGTATTAACACAAGGTCTGCTACCCAGCACCATGTGGCTCTACAGAACCCCAAATATGTAGCGTTTCAGAAACTTATATACTGCACTGGACCAAAAGTGTTCAATGCTCTGCGTCCTGAACTGAGAGTTAAATTATATAAGAGAATAAAAAAAGAATTGCTTGATTGGATTAGGCTCAGCGGTTTTAATTTAGTTTATTTGGAATAAGCCCGAAAATAATAATAAAAGCTCTATAGTGTAACTTTTAAACTAAAAAACAACCTTTAATTTTTTAAACAACGTTACTGGGCAAACACACAGTATCCTAAGATACCATTATGAGCACAAAAATATTATTGATAATTGTTAACTTTTGATAATGTGTGCTATAATTATAAATAGTAATGTAATGTAATTAAAAATCAAATCAAATGTTGAGTTTAGTTTAGTGTATTTCCAGAACCAAACATCAATGTCTCCAACTACAGAAATAATTAGTATAATTAGTTTATTTGTATGCACAATTAATATTGTTAATATTTATATTTATAATCAAATCATTAGGTGTATAGAAATCGTCTTTACGAATAGAATGGCAAAATGCAGGTTAAGGTTTGTAATTTAGGAAAAATGTCACTGTTAAGATATGTCATGAAAGAGGGAAACTGCAAAAGTCATCTAATTGGCCTATTCACCAACCAACATGGCCGCTGACCGACTGTTGGTAAGTTTGGATGCAGCATTTTTACAGTAGTATTATCTCACAATATGCCAAGTTCTTTCCAATGTTTACCGCAGTAGGGTAGCGATTTCCACACACAAAAAAAATGTTAAAATTACAAGAACTTTTTAGTTTCATCATCAAGATAAACATTCTGTGGTTCTTGGGCTCAATTTTTTGTATGTAAAATATGGTCTTAAATTAAAATGCTAAAAAGATGGACAGGCAAAAAAGTCTACTCGATTATTTCTAAAATCAACAAGCTAATTTTTGCCAAAGATTGCTCTAGACTTATTTAAATCAGGCGAGCTGTTGGGTAATTAAAAATAGATTGCCAATTTTTTTTTTATAGAAGTTCTCGATAGATCTTTAAAATTCCTTTATCGACTTTACTGGCACCTGAAATTGTTAGAAATAATTAACAACATGTGGGGTAGGAAATGATTTATCATATGTACTAACAAGCAATTATTTTTTGTCGCTATTTTCAAGTAACTTTTAAAGTAATTTAGAAGATATATTTTTAATTATGTATTCAAATGCGATTTAAAAATAGAAATTATTTAGAGAATAATGTCAACTGAAAGAAGAAAAAAAAATTGTTGGAATTTTGTATAACTACCTATGTTTTTGAGTCTGATCCATCGAATTAAAATATTTTAAAATAATCAACGTGGCCGATTGTATTGTTGTGATATCGTTATCTCAATAAGCATATATTATCACATTTTTGGCATGTGCTTAATAGCTATACCTATACCTATCTAGAGCAGTTTTCGAAATGTTTTTTTTTCTTCAAACATGACACCACTTAAACCTGACTGCTATTAGATAAAGTTATTCCAAAATATACAACGTCGTTTACCTTGTATATCAGCAAAATTTCTGAAAGATAAATTAGTATTAATCAATTAGCCGAAGAATATGTGTTGTTATGTTAAAATTATTTTTAGGTAAATAAATGCAACTTTTACAACTTTGGCATCTTCAAAATTGAAACAATAATTTAACAACTCCCTCATCTTCAAGAAAATTTTACTATCAGTCAAAACTATATTATACAGGGCGTGTTATTTGAAAAAAATATGTTTTGGTTAGTTCTTTTTTGTGTGCCGCGTCGGAATACGAAATAAATTTATCTAGGTAAATTACCATTTCAAAAATCGCTCTAGATCAATATAAAAAATTACTAGGCAGAAATAATCAGAAATAAAACACGGATTATAATATAATATATACTATCTAAATATAAAAATATTTTAGCTCAATAGAGAAAACCCAAAAAACTTCGAAAATATCTACAAAAAACTGTTTTAGGTTCACCCTAAAAGTATAACCATCAATCACCCAATATAAGAAGGGTGAGTCACAATTGGTAGTTCAAATAGTATACTAAGCGAAAATGAAGACCAAATTCGTTTATCGATCAGAAATATTAAAAATTAAATCTCTCACTCACTCGTCTTGGGCGAATACTGCACCGGTCAAGGCGAACGGCGTCGTGTTATCGACGAGATCCAGAGTTTCCTGAACTTGACCGTCCTTGTAGACGTAGATGGTCAAGACAGGCCCGAAAATTTCCTCCTTCATGATCTTATCGTGTGGGTCCTTGGTCTGAACAATGGTAGGCTCGATAAAGTAGCCCTTGCTGTCGTCGTACTTGCCACCTCCCAGAATCTCCAAGTTGGGAGATTTCTTGGAATGTTCGATGTAGCCGGAGATCCTTTTGAAAGCCTTGTCGTCGATCACCGCCGACGTAAAGCTGTCGTACTCCGTCGGATCCCCGATCTTCAACTTCGCCCGTTTCTCCAACAGGCCCTCTTTGATCTAAGATTTTTTTAATGTAACAGATGCCCCTCTTCCAAAGCAATAAGCGAAAATTGCATGCAACTCAACTAACCTATAGAATAACTATGCTATTGTTAATGCCAATATAATTACTCTAAGATACTATGGAAGCGAAAACTTATATCTGTTGTCCGGGTAAGAAACAAAAAATAGGGTTTGTAGAAAATCACTGTATGTTATTTAAATATGTCTGGAAGAGATGGATTATGTCACTAGTCTGTTGGAAGAGACTAGTGTTGGGACTGGTCAATTGAACGGTCAATTGACCACTTCTTAATTGAACGGTCAATTGGTGACTTGTTAATTCACTAGTCACTTTCGATCAAAATGTTTTAAATAACACTTAAAGAGTGTTATCTATTGTTCTTTAATAATAATATGTATTTTGTAATAAATTATTATGCGTTCGAATACGATACTTAGCAACTCGTAACGCACAACATATATAAATAAATATAAATTTCATTGCTTTTTAAAAATGATATGGTCATTTTTTTTTTCATAACATTCCTTTTCAATTGTAGTTGATAACATTACGTGATTTATTACTGTCTTTTAGACTTTTCAAATTTTATATTTCACCAATTATTTATGCAAAATTAATGTGAAATATTTTATGAATATATATGAATATATTCATAAAGCTCCTATTAAATAATATAATTTGCAATAGCAAAGCTGCAAAGAGAAAAACGAACGCACTCGTTGATCTCTTTCTTATTTTGTTCGGTTGTACTTCCAGATCTTTAATCCTAGCAGTGTGGAAGACAGAAGCATATTGTGCTTTGATAATTGAAAATTACGGGCTCTTGCACTTTATGCGTTCATGTGTTTCATATTTTTCTAAATTTATATAATCGAATTCCAACATCACGCAGTTGAAACTGACGGGCATTATTTGAGCAGGATATTTTTTGTATATTTTCAAATCATCGGTGAACAATAAACCCTCATTCACTACGGTTTTAATTTGGTTTTTTCGAGAACACCAGAAGGAACATCCACTTCTTGAAAAAAAAAATTTGTTTTCTACCCTTAAAGTAATCTGTAAGTATTCTCAAGTAATGGACCTGATTTACAGATTTAATCGGGTTGATTCACTCCTTTGAAATCCATATTATTCTTCAATCGTGTCTAACTTTAGTGCTGTAGATAACACATCTGTTACCAAACTTTCAAACAGAAAAATATCAGAAATTAATAGACACAGATTAGATTTCTTAATACAGAGTGTAGTTCAGCTTAAAAAGAACTGACTGAAGGTACAGTGTAGAATACCTAGAAAAGAAGAATGAGGCAAAAATGTTGGTCATATCATGACCCTTACTCAACATCGTGTTTTGCAGTAACAAAATGTTATACATTAAAATTTGATAACACCTAGTATACTTGACATTAAAACATTTCTTCAGCTACTTACACTCCAAAGGCAAACAAACGGATATTCTGCATTTATATAGGCATCTAAGTAAATATTGCGCATTTGCTTATTGATAGTTACTAGCTTACCTTCGGCCATAGAGATTCCGGCACGTACATACGGCTGCAAGCGCTACACTTTTGGCCGCAAAATTCGAACGCACTCCGAATGGTGCCGTTCACCACTGTTGGCACGTCAGCACTCGGATGGACGAAATGGTAATTCTTGCCACCACACTCTCCAATCAGTCTCGGGAAATTTTTATACTTGCCAATGTTCTCGCCCACTTGCTTCCAGATACGCGTGAACGTCCTGGAGAAGCAGAATTTTAATGAGACCTTGCCAATTTAATATGATTTATGATTATGATCTCGTATAATCTTTCAATCAGCTGCCCTTGCGATATTAAAAATGGACCTTAACATAGTCAAAGACAGTTGAGTAACTAAGTCGTCTTGTCAACTTAAAGAACTTTACGCTAATTTTGTGTTTTTTAACTACTTTATGGTGTTTAACATCTTTTTATACTTTTCTTTTGCTGAGGTTTCCTTCCCTATACCCATCAATTCAAGTTTTTACATAATATTAGTTTTCATTAATCATATACAAACATGCATTAATTTATCGCTATTTATATTAGCCTGTTTACTTAAAAATCAATTTTTGTTACTAAGTGGTTTTGATAAACCAAAATTGCAAATTGGATAAATTCTTGTTTATATTTGCAAAAAATAGTAATATAAACAACGACATTTGTTAATGTCTCGAATAACAAACAAACAGTAAGTTGCAAGTCTGCTTAAAAAATACGACTAAGCGATAATTGACACCTTGCACTTGGCCGCTGCATAAGTAGGAACTACAAAAATCTATTTTTGAGCAAATAGCGTCGTCTTTAATAAATTACTTAAATTAACGTATTTTTTTTTTCAAAATAGAGATGAATAAGAGAGACGTAGTGTATAGTACATAGAGAACTATTGGCCTAAGCTAATAATTACGACACTTTCATAACCAACAGGAAAACATGTTCAAGGGAATATTCCATACCCACACACCTGTGAGTCCATGTGCGGTTTAAAAAAAAAGCTCATGGCCTATTGTACAAAAATATCATAACCCTGTATTATCTAGAAGGTATATGGGTATAGCTCACGGTACACTTCCGGTGAAGTTCACGCCGGCCAAATGGGGTGACGCTGTTATAGTGTCACCGAATACTGGTCCATCCGCCGGCACGAAGTTGACAACTCCTGGCGGAACTCCCGCTTCCAGGCAAATTTTGAAGTTCACCCAGTTCGCCAGAATGGCGGTGTCGCTCGGCTTCCACAGCACAGCATTACCCTACATTGTATGCAGAATATAAGATGGCGGAAGTTTTATTAACCAAATTGTTTATTTTAGCCTTCACATTAGACAAGTCTTTTGGAAGGGCTAATTCTAATTAAAAACTTATCATTTTCCAGGAATTCTTTTTGCACCATTTAAAAATTTATTTTAAAAGACTTAGTAATATATACTAGATCGAGGTCATGTCAGGTTTACGCAGGGCTAAAACTGAGATACATAGTGTGTCAAATTTGCTGTCCCTATTTTTATAATAGTTTTGGGTGCAGGTTTATGTGTTAGATTGGGTGTAGGTGTTTTTGGTGTTTCAAGTTGTACAAATTTCCTATGAACCCAACGAGTTTTACTACATATGAATATATTTCTAGGAACTATTTAAAAATAACCTAACGCAAGTAAAAAAATCAATATAAATGTTAAAATTACGTATTGTTTTATATAAATTCAAAGTATTTCTTTATCTGCTGATCTTTATAAAAAAATGTTATATATCTTGTATTTGTAAGAACATTTGTAAATATAAAAAATATTTGAAATAAAAAATAAATATAAGTATTTAGATATTCCTTACCTATCTATTGGATTACATAAAAATTTAAAAAAAAGTTTCCGACCTCAACCTGAAGATGGCGGCACTAGTTACTAAAAGCCAGTGATCATAGTTATGTACCCTCTTGATAGTTACTTACCAAAGTTCTAGCCATTTTGGACGCGTGGGTTTTTGTTAAGAGTCGTTTGAGTGAGTATAGAGCTGTTATAAAATATTTGATTTTGAAATTCAATAAGCCTACGCAAATTAAAGTTGAGTTAGACTCTGTGTATGCATCTATCACAGTAAAATTTTGAGCAGCTGAATTTAAACGTGGCCGTAAGAACTTAGGAGATTATGAATGTTCAGAACGTCCAAAAACTGTAACTACCGACTCCGAAAAAAGCAAAAACCATTTTTTCGGCCGGGAAGGTGGTGCCGACTGTTTTTTGGAATAGCCATAGCCATTACCTTCAAAAAGGAAATACCATTATAGGAGCACACTACGCATCATTACTTGACAAGTTGAGGACAGAATTTGCGGAAAAACGACAGTATTGGCAAAAAAATCCTGTTTCCTTATGAAGTTACAATAAAATAAATTTTATTTTATACAAATAGTTAAAGAAAGTATTATTTGATCAACAAACAATATGTAAATGCTTTCAGTAAGAATTATATGTGTAAATAAAGGAATTACACAAGTTTAACACCATATTCTCTATTATACTAGAGAATGATAAGAATACCTAATAACCAAAAGGCCACACTGCTAATGAAATAAAGAAAGAAAGAAGAGGTGGGTCACCCTGTAGGTTAATTTTTTTTTAATTAGTTTTCTAAATCAGTTAAATTTAAATACAGATGCACTTTTAAACTTACAATCAAAGCGGGAGTGTAAGCCAAGTTACCACCAATAGCAGTGAAATTAAATGGCGACACAGCGGCTACAAAACCCTCTAACCCTCTATAACGCATTGAATTTTTTGTTTCCCTCGGATTCTCTGATATAGGCTGATATTTAGTGGCCTCCTTTAAAAAATAGGCATTCAACCTAGAAAAACAATTACAAATATATTAAGTAATCAGTTAATAATTTACCTAAAAAAGTCTATCAGTTCAGCAGCAGCGTCGATTTCAGCCTGAATAACAGTTTTAGCTTGACCCAACATGGTCGCTGCATTCAATTTTGATCGGTACTTGCCCGCCATAAGAGATGCAGCTTTCTCCCAAATTTTTAACCTATAAAGACAAGCAATTTTTTTTCTGGATTATTTTCAATGTACCATTTACCTTTCAGAAATGGGAGTCCTGTCCCATTTCTTCTGAGTTTCGGTGGCAACATTAATAGCTTGCTTTATTAGTTTTGCATCTGCATAGTAAAATTTGGCTAGTTTCTTTTTGTGGTCGTGAGGCATCACCTAAAATAAAATCTGACGGTTTAATATCAGAACCTAATGTTCATAGACTGTTCATACCTGATATCTTACATCACCAGTTTTGATTTCTTTCTCGCCTATAACAATAGGAATTTCTTCAGTTTGACTCGCTGTTTCCTGAAGTGATTTCTCCAGCTCGGTCCTCTCAGAAGAGCCTTTGAGGTACCCCAAAACGGGTTCGTTTTTAACATCGAAATTTTCTACTCTTAGTTCAGGCACTACAGATCCAAGACTTCTTGCACTAGCCCTAAGGTTTAAAATTCGTCCTTGATAACAAACAACCTCAAACTATCTTAGATCGACACAAAGTATAATTAACGTTATCATATATTTTCTCAAGGATTTGTTGCAGTTTTTCAATAAAGATAGCCTATTTTTAGCACTTGGCAAAGCGGTGCCTATTTGTTATGGAATAACCCACAACTTTCATAAATAAAAAAATACAGACTGAAGCAGTTATATTTAACACGAATTTTGACTAATAACCAGGTAAAGCTGTCAGCGTCCAAAATTAAAAAAGGAATTTTCCAAACAAAAATATAGGTCAGATGTCAAAATCAGCTGATTGTTTAATGGTTATTGTAAACCCTTAAAAAATAGTTTTTATTCGGTTTTCTGATAAAACGGCATTAATTTTCTTATCAGCCGACAGCGGACAAGAAAATCATCAAATCAATGCAAACATTTGCGTATTGTAACGCATCTATTTCTGTGGAGTACACGAGAAAATATTGATTTTACGCGTAGAAACTTCCTAGGCCATTTATTTCATTATCATAAAAAAATACCTTTAATGACAATGCACTTGACCCCTAAATAATAAAAGGGACTACCCGACACTAAATAATCAGACAATTTAAATTTATTAACAAGCGATAAGAAACGTTCAACAACGCGCCTTTTATGATAACAGAGCGCTTTTACTGACCTTTGAAGAGACTGCGACAATGTTTGTTTACAAACCGATAGCATTTTTAGAGCAGTGTTATCCAATAACAGACTGATAAACAACTTTGAAAATTGGAGCTTCTGCTGGAGAAAATAATACTCGCAACGATTTCTTCGACCATTTGACAATTCACCTGAATTGCAACGATGACGTAACGACTTGCGTAATGTAATGTGTCCAAAATAAACGTCAAGTTATTTTCCACGGATTTTATATATATATATATATATATATATATATATATATATATATATATATATATATATATATATATATATATATCTTGTTCATTCGATTCTTTTGTTTCGAATCGCCCACCAATGGGCTAACGTTACGAATAAGAAATTACATTTTACTGGCTATTGCAATTTGCTAAAAGGCTCCAGGCACTTGACCTGAGAAAATGGTGACGAAATTTGGTTAAGTAAAGATATTTTTTCTCTTATTGTTAAATAGGTATTTAAAATTTGGTATTTTTTTAAAATGCCGCAGCCAACAGACTCTGATAATCACATATTTTGGCTGAATTATCTCAATAATTGGGCCAAAGAAGGTTGAAGAGGACGAAACCTTCTATATTCTCACAGATGGGGGTTGATGGGGTTGTTTTTTTAATATTTGTATGGCTTCATTTGATACATACATATAATTTAGTTAGAGCTATAATAGTCTTTGACTCTAAGACTGCCCTCCAAAGTCTGAATTCTACAAAGTTGAATGCTAAATCAAGTGGTATTCTCCTAGATGTTAAACATAAGCTTCCGAATCTCTCTTTGTTGGGTTCCTAGCCACTCCGGTATTAGAAATAATGAAATTGTGGATAGGGTGGCCAACCAAGCTAGAGAGAATGTCCTATTGGAATTAAAACCTCATTTTACTGAGTTTTTTAGAGTTGTTCAAAATAATCTATGGATTTCAGGGTCTTTATGATGGAGAAGAATGGGTACCAGCTTCCACGAGAATCCTCTGGCCAAACCCTGGTCTCATGGATTGAATTTCACCAGAAAAAAAATTACTACTATGTGCAGATTAAGAAGTAACCACTACTGTAATCCGGTCCACCTATGCAGGATATATAAATATAAAGGCAAGTAACTTATGCGAATGCTGAGAAGTATTAATTAATCACATATTTTTTGATTGTGTGAAGCATCGAAAATACTCTCAATCCCTTTATAGAGACCTGAGTAATTCTCATGTTTCCTCCCATATTTCCTTGGTACCTGCTATATTTTCTGTGAATAATTTGAAACGCGATGCTAAGACTATATGTAACTTTCTTAGTACATGTGATAGACGCTTGTAAATCGACTTGTGTGCATAAATTTAAGACTGCTTGAAAATAGACTTTGTGCATGGAGAGTTATGTAAGTGCTCGGCGGTAGTCGGCAATGGGCGAATGTCCTTGGATAACACGCCCACTTTAAGGAAAAGCAAAGAGAAGAAGAAGAATATTCTGTGCTTCAAACATAAGAACCGCGCTTTCCTAATTATTTGAAAGTAATTGATAAGTCCTTTTTTAATATATACAACACACACATACACACCTTTGGAATAAATTTAGTTGATTAAAGTATATAGAAAGGTAGGCCATGAATTTTCGTTACCTCGACAACCAAGAATTACAAAAAAACAGTTGCTGTTTTGCCCATTTCAAAATTAACATTTCCGCCGGAAAATGGCTCTCAGAAACTGCAAAATTACCAGTGAAATCATTCAGAATGTATGTTTGGGAAGATTTTTAAGTATTTTATCTTCAGCGAGCTCTTTTCTAGTGCAACCGCATTTTCTCAAGTAAGCATGACATGTCCACCAAAACCAAGCCGATGAGCTTAGAAACACAGACCATCGCCGCTCGCCAGTCATTTAGATACAGAATCGCCAATTTGGAAAGACCCCAAGACTTGCCGGAGATTAATTTTCCTAAAGAAGAAATTACGCAGTTTTCTGAGTTACAACCTTCAGCCAAACCACTTTTTCGTTTTGAATATAACCAGGCAAAATGGATAGAGAGGCCGTAAATTGTTTTCCTGGCTAGCTGAAATATTCACTGAGCGACTAATTGTTGTAGAGAGGACCGGAGCCCTTTTCCACAATCCATAAAGGCTTTACGAAGTGAAACGCAGATCTCCTCAGATCGACAGAAAGCGGAGGAGAAAATACTGAGAGCCAAAGGCTTGAGCTTTGTTCCACTCACGAGGAATTACTCGATAGTAAACAGTTTTTTTTTTATAATTTGTTGAAGTTAGAGTTCCCTTGAATTTGGCAGTTTCCGCTGATATGAGTGCAGTTTTCGATTACCTGTTAACAGTACAGCAGGGGGACATGTTTTCGATTTGTTTAAAAAAGTGTACTTCCTATTAATAATACAGCTATGTGGTTTTTTTCCATAGTTACATCCGTGATATAGAGAAAACACAATAATGGGCTTCGTACTTAAAGCCAGACAAATTAATATCCTAGAACATTCGATATACGCATGCGAGAGTCATTTCAAAATTCACTTTTAACCAATAAGATCTTGCTGTGTTCAACAATCAACATGGTCGCTGACAGTTCAATTTGACAGTTTCTAAATTGGATATGACAATTTTTTCGCCTGTATTTTGTTAAAATATGATTAGATTTCGTTTAGTTTTAAGAAAAAATGCGTTAAGTGTGCATAGATCGTTGTTTCCATAGAAAATTGCGTAAAGTTCAGGTTAGTGCGTGAAATTGTGGGTTATGTGCCGAAGATAAGGCTTCCTTTTGGGGTATATTATATTATCTAATCGCTATACGGTTTTTCTCGGTAACAAAAAATAAGACTTCACTTACAATAAATGTTTTGGGATATGTTAAAATCGTTAGGATAATATCAAATATTAGATGGCGTTGACGAATTTTGCTTTGACAACCAATTTTAATCAGCTACACCTCGAACCTTCAACCGTGTGGCGTTGTCTGTTTATGATATATACAGGGTTACAAGTCTCAAATATATTTTGCAGTATACCTACTGTGCTACCTTTTCGTGAAACGAAAAATGCCCACTGCCCTATTTAAAAAATGCAACTAAAGAAAGTAAATGAAAAAAATTGGTAATGGGGTTTTTGAAATTGAATAAACAAACAAATATTACAACGGTGGGCCGCTGTATCTCTGGGATCCCAATAATAGTGAGAATCGAATTTGAAACACTCGGTATGCATTCTCTTTCGATAGGGCGTCGAACGGACCTATGGGGGCAAGAACCCGAGCGAGAACAACAGCGAAGGCAAGTGCGGCAAAAATAAGTTGAAAAGGGATTGCACGGCTCAAAGACCGCAGCAGAAAAGTTGCGGCATGAACGACGATTGTCCCAGACATAAGTTGCACGACTGTGAACAATCCAAAGGGTCCAACTGCAAGCTAAACTACTTGGACGTAAGTTATTAGTTAGTTTTGGTTAGTGGGACTATTTAATTTATTAACATAAATCCTACAGTTTATTTGTAACATTAATAAAATTTTCTTTCATTTGCCATATTAAGTATATTGTTATAATTAGGGATCGTGTAACATGTTCTGCATATAAAACAGTGGCAATGTGAGATAATTACATAATATTTTTTTGATGAATTCATAAAGTTTTTAAATTTGTGTATGTTTCTTAACTTTTATTAGCCAAGAATATCGAAGATGCTTTTTCTACGATTTAGTTAGTCTGATTTCTGTAATTTTGTCGTGTTTAATTTCATAGCCCCATTGCACAAAAAAAATGGCCCCATATCCGTCCTACAGCGAGTCCTGCGCAGAGCAGCTTGTTGAGGATCCCTCTGAGTGCACCCAATGTCCGTGGCGCATCTGCGATGGCGCGGACACCATCGAGCCGCAAAAAAACAAAAGTAAGCGACGCTATAGCACGAACGCTAGCCGCTACGCTACTACAGCCGACCTGCCCATCAGACCTCCCTCATCGGGCTCCATTTTGCCTAGCATCGAAGACATCGACGGGTTGATTTGCGATGTTAGGAAGGTATATATCGATAATTGTCGAATTTCTTGCACTCTCGGAAAAGGAAGTTGCAAAAAAGTGTTTCGTCACAAATTTTCTCCCGTAAGCACATGCTGAGCACTTTGGGCCATCTGAACACATTATAATTAATTTATTTGTAATTCTCCCCAAATTTAATGATATTTACTTATGTTGAAATGCTCATCATAGGTTTCGTCCCCAGAGGGCGCCGATGTTCATAGGTGCTAACGCTAAAGGATAATGCTCACATTTTTTAGTAAACTAAAATTAGGAATGTAAATTTTGCAGTATTTTGGGCAGCCCAACAAATTAATGGAATGAAAATCGCAAAATCGTCAGTTAGGTCATTGAACTGTAGTATACTTTAACTTGGTGTTCTGGAATATGTTCTTGTCATGCAGTCGCAATAGTTATTTTATTATTATTATGATAAAAAACACATTGGCGTATATAAAATGAAATAGGGTGTATTTTATGTATTGTACTTAACCAAGAAAATTTTCTAACGCCTGTTTATAATTTTAAGAAAGCATTGCAAGTAGTGAAATGATCACCAGCGTCTTATGGAATACCCCTATATGAATAGATCCAGTAAAGAAACTTCTAACACTCTGGAAAATGTTTCTTTTCCTATTGATCTCAAACAGTGCTACTACTTATGACCTTTGACCGAAGAAAGCGTTTGCCTATTAAAAAGTGAGGAGTCTTTTTTGCCGTAGTCACAATAGAGTTGCATATTTGCACACTTTGCAAATTGTTTGCTATTAACACCGAGCAAGGAGGCAGCAAAAGTTGTGGTCCAGAAGATGTGACACGGATGAACGCCAGTTATTTCTACCACATCTTTGGAATGGCAAATTTCTCGCCTTTTCATTGCACTTTTTTTTTACCCATATAGCCTCCTTGTAATCCGCCTCAGTCGCCGTGCGACATTCGCCGTCAACTGGAGGAGGAGTTGAAACGCAAGGAGATGGAGAAGAAGTACGGAAATAAAGAGAGGAATAGAAAAAGGGATGGAGAAAATAACGAACAGAGGAAGGCGATGCAGCTGGAGCCACTAGGAGAGAAAAATGTATCAGAGGGAGTCGAAGACGCTCTAATGTTGTCTGAGCAACAAAAGAAAAGGAAACATCCCAATTGTCACAAGAATCGACCCGGAAAGAGGCCGGTTGAAAATAAAATCAATGTAAGTCAAGTTTGTAGTTTGTTGATAATGAGATGCAGGATGCTTTGAGAAATAGTTTCACTTAGTCTCAGATGGGTTGAATTTATGCTGGTATAATCACAGTTCAAAAACCATATAAAAAAATTATAAATGATTTTTGTCTTCCTTTTAGTCTTCCATTACTCATTAAGAGTAATGACATTGGACTCCTCACCATGAGTATAGGTTCCTGTAAATGTTAGTTCAAAATCAAATTCACCATTTTAGAAGTTTAAAAGTAATATGCTTTGATAACGAAAGTTAACATTTCGGTATGTTATATATTGATGGTCTAGCGCACAAATGTTGTCAGTACAAAATTAACAATTAATCATTAACAATTTTTAGTCTAAACTTTAGTTAAAAATATAGAAATGGTTTTATAGTACTTACATTTGTGCATGGTTTGGTATTCGATGAGTGGTTTAACATGATTAACCCAATTTGCAAAAATAATTACTTAACACATTAATACATGTGCGCTAAGCCATCGATATATTTTTCTACCAACCATGCAAATTTGTGTTGAATAACATATTCACAAAATTTCGAAAAAGGCGTTTAAACGATTTATTAAGATATATTCTTTCGAAATTAATTATTTAAAATATATTAGAATCAAATGATTTACAATGTTTTAATCTAAACCATTGACTATAGTCCACCCACCTCATGCGTTTTCAATTATAGTGTATCTCAAAGGATATTATGTTGCTTTTTGAAAGACCATCCCGCAATAAACCTTTAACTAATTTATTAGTTATTGTATTACCATTATTATGTGACATGGTAGGAGTGGAACAGGTAAGAGTCCGTCCCTAATATATCCTGTTCTGTGCTTAATACCTACCGGTCCGGAGTTTTATTGACGCCGGCAGTTACAGACAAAAGTCGACATGATATACTTTGAGACAAACTATACAACGTGGAATTTAAATCGAAATATGAGAAAAATGACTTTCAAATTCGGTGACACGTTGTAATTGATAACGAAAGAACTAGAATGATCCCAATCTGCGAAATATCATTTCTAGAGCTGTTTTAGGTAATAGACGAAAGCGAATGTTTTTGTATACTCGATGTGTCAGTGGTGTCCATGCGTGTTTGTTTTGTAATATTAAAGGTAAGTTGACACTGTTTTCGTTTAATTTCAGTGGAGACCAAAGTGCCACAAGCCAGTGAACAGAAAGAACAGGAACGACCCCAAATTTTATTAAAAGAAATGTAATTAACATACAGTGAATAAAGCAGCAACTTCACGCTTCGTTTTATTTTTTTCCTGTCGTGAATGTAATGCCTTTGTTATTGCGATTGCTCGATTTCAGAATGTGCTGATGAGAGGGGAGATCGAGGCTTGCAAAAAAAAACCTGTAAAGGGAGACGAGGGCAATCCTCCGCCGTGCGAGGACTCAAAACCCACAACGCATATTTGCCCCAAACAGCCGATGAAAAAGCCGAAATACAAGAAGAGGTCACTAAAAGAGGGTTACTATAAGAAAAAGGAAGAACCCTACAATGTGGAAGAGTGATCTTAACAAATATATATTTTGTCACATGTTCTAGAAAAATTTCAATTTTCATATTGTTGACCAGACACAATTATTTTTAATAGTTTGCTGTATATTTTTAACTCTCATATTTGCAAATTTTCCAAGAATCAAAAGTTTTTAAATAAAACTCTATCTTAAGAAATATATATATATATATATATATATATATATATATATATATATATATATATATATATATATATATTCTCACGTATTGATTCACGGATGGAAAAATGTGATGACACTATATTCCGAGATATCATCCGTTCGCTCGTTGAACTCCGACTGGAATCCTGCATCCGACTGGAATCCTGCAAAATCCTGCATCCGACTGGAATCCTGCAGACGTTTCGCCAAAATCTCACTCCGCTCCGAAAACACTTCGAACACTTCGAAGTGTTTTCGGAGCGCGAGCATTGAAGATGCAGGATTCCAGTCGGAGTTCAACGAGCGAACGGATGATATCTCGGAATATAGTGTCATCACATTTTTCCATCCGTGAATCAATACGTGAGAATATATATATATATATATATATATATATATATATATATATATATATATATATATATATATATATATATATATATATATATATATATATATATATATATATATATATATATATATATATATATATATATATATATATTCAATTGTTTTCTGCATTCTATATCCTAATCAGCGTGAAAAGTACTACGATGTTAATTTAACTGACCGCGTATCTCTAATAACAAAAAAGATAGAAATACTGCGCACTTAATTTCATACACCGTTTATATTAGATAAGATTGATGAGCCTCACACTGCTGGGACATTTTTATAAAGATAGAGATAGTTCCACGCATGCCGTTAAATTTTACACACCAACCTCTGGCGTCATTTTTTTTCTTCTAAACATACTCATATATCAGAAGCTTTTAACCAATCAAAATTGATTTTTTTTATTTTATCCGAAATTTTCCTTTCTTGGGTAGGTAAAACCAATAACAAATTATAGTGGAATATTTTTGCTATGATTTGCTATTTGGAACATATACGCGATCATTTACACCTAAGGACAAGAGTGTGTAAACTGATTAACTTCGACCGATACCTCCACTGGGGGTGACAAACTTGTAGATTTAAAGTTTATCGTGAGACTATGGAATTACCCAATTTCAGTTTGATGCCGCAAAATAATATGTACAGTTTGTTTTTTACTACACACTTTTACTGTACAAAACAATTAAATATAAATTTGTTTCCAAAAGGTTTGAAAATATCACATTTCCATGGCCAATTTTTTGCCCCGCAATTAAAAAAAAAGATTTTCCAAGAATACTCACTGACGTAGTGTTGACAATAAAACACCACCCAAGAAAAAAAGAGGATCGGTCTGATTTTACTCGATTCGTTTTTTCTTCATACAAATATTTAAAATTGCTAAATTCGCTCAAGATGGCCACATTTAATTTTTATCATAAACGTTAATGAACTTATTTTACAATTTTTTTTATTTCGATAAAATAAAAATTACTTAACGCCAAAATAAATAAAATATTCCTAAATCTTGAAAAATTACAATAATCTGCCCTTGCATTCCAACGAGGCGCAATGGCAGTAGAGCACCCTACCCGGTACACTGCCGATATCGTAATTATAGTTCCAGGTGAGTTCTGTGCCAGCACGAATAAACTGCGATGAGAAAAACGCGACCCAAGGGAACCTTAGATCGTGAGTATCGACGAAAACATTTTGAACAAAGACGTTGGGCGAACACGAGTGCTGGAAGAGTTCCATTAGTGTATTAAAAAAATAAGTACACTCTTACTCACATTCAGAAAGCGTCCGATATTGCCAGCGTTCTTCGCGTCCATGATATATATATTCTCTTTTTCACCCGGTCCAAACAATTCTCTAACCGATATGTACTTTAAACCTCTATCATCTAAATCGGTATTCGCTTTTGGGTTGAAACTGAGTACCTCTCTTCCCTCTAAAAAAATTATTTATCCCGAAAAGTGTCTAGAAAAGTTTAACAAACTATGTGCTGACTAATTAGCGAAATATCAGCTAAGTTAAATAGTTAAGAATAATTTACTTTGAAATACATTTCTATCATAATTAGGTCAAAAAAATTATATTGGAATAGATTTAAGTTTTTGCTTGTTTAATCATAGGTTAAAGTATACCAGTGATAATAATAATAATAAATTTTATTTAGGTTATGGGCATCTGCAAGTAACAAACAATAAACAATATAGTGTAGTATCCAATAGATCTTGTATAATAAAAAACCCATGATAATTCCTGAATAACGAGACATTCAGTTGTTGTTCACAATATATCAAAAAATTACGGAGCGAGTTCTTAATAAACTACTGACAAAAAGTTTATCAAAGGTGTGTAATTTTTCTATAACCTTTAGTTTTTGGGTACATTTTTGCAACAACACGAATACATTCACTGACATGGCCGTCAGAATTGACAAACGTCAAAATTCAAGCCGTGCGGTAATATCTCCGCAAAACATCCGATTGCTCCGAAACCAGTGCGGAAATATCCAAAGAGATAAACTTTTCAAAAATGTGTTTTCGGAAATATTACCCACAGCTTGAATTTGGCGTTTGTCAATTCTGACGGTCAATCAATGAATGTATTCGCGTTTTGCAAAAATATACAATGTATGCACTACATTGTGACCCGAGCAAAGGCTTAAACAAATATTTGAGTATAATGTCTGATCTATATCTAGAAAATGCTAATATACTAATTTGTTAGTTTTGGTTAGATTGGTTAATGTATACTTAATGTTTAATGTTGGTAATTTCTCTTTATTTTATTAACAAACTATTGTTTGGTGATTTATATTTATTACTTGAAATTTATAATATAACATCGTTGCAAAAAGGGAAAATGTAGTATCCAGTAGATATAATAAAAAGACCGGTGATAATTCCTGAATAAAGAGACATTCAGTTATTCTGCAACGGTGAAACTAAGAGCCCAATCATAATTTTATTTCTCTGACAACATACCAAAGTATTAGATCGAGCAACGTGAAGACAGCTAACACGATTACAAAAAATTATACAACTCAACCTCATTTAAATCACAGATGAAACCCATAACAACAGATACAATTAATATAATTTTTATAAAATACATCTACCATTTTTTCTCAGCATTTCATTCACACTTCGGTATGTTACCTAACATCTCTGATAAAAGAAAAGAGGCGAATTCTTACCTAATTTTAAGACGAAAATAAGGTATATAATTTCTTGGAATGTCGCTTCCGGCAATACAGGGTGTTAAAAAAATCAAATTTTATGGGTTTTCTTGTCAATATTAATTAAGGGCAGACGATATTCCAGTGATATTTGGTACACAACGGTCATTTTTTTTACATCTATATATAGAATGAAATATTACCACCAGTTCAATTCTTCACGAAAGGCGCCCCCTATAGCCAAACTCTAGTACTTACCGTCTTCGTCATCGCTTATAGTAACTGTATCGATATTGTCTGTGACACTTTCGATAATGGCTTTGACGTTTCTATCCGGATCTGGCTTAACCTTAACCTGAGGTTCCTTTTTCTCTTCCTTCTTTTCCTCTTCGTCCTTCCTCTTTCTCAATCTCGACCGGATTGTATCCGCGTTAGATTTGGGAATAGCTGCGCTGCCAGGCGAAAAATCGTTATCCTCCAGGTAATTGTTTCTACGGGCTTTTATTCCAAACGGTTTCACGGGAGTTCCGTCCGGGTCGTCGTCTTCCGGAGGGGGACTTTTACTTTTTTCTCTAGTAGTTTCCTCTTCCTCTTCGTATGCTTCCTCTTCGTAATCTTGTTTGAATTTCTCAACTGTCTCAATATAATCCAGCTCGGCGAAATACTCGTCGCCATACTGGATACCATCCTACAATATTAAGTGGCTTAATAAAAGCTTGGTGAAGCGTAGATGGACGTACTTCGTTGGCCATTTGTTCGGTGTGGAGGGTACCGGCGTAGATACATATAAAAGTACCTTGAGGGATGTCGTTCAGACACCTAATACCCCACCCTCGGTTGTGAGTTTTGAACACTTGTAATTTCAGTGTCATTGGGTTCTGGGCAACACGATTCAGACACGTAGGTCCGCATTTACATCTAAAATTAACCAAAACCTACCAAATTTTAGGTTACTACCCACGTTGAAGATCTAAGACATCAATGTGGAGAATACATTTCAAAAATATATGTTTAGTTCTGCATATATAAATAAAAAATATATACTTAAATTTTGTTTTCCTAATTCTCAACACACGGGTTGTGGTTACTTAAAGCCCAGACCCATTATTTTTCGTTTCAATTTGATAGTACACCAGCTTGGTTATAATATGTAACCATATCGTATTACAGGGTGTCCATTTTTTTATAAAGATACTTCCACAATACTATTGCAAAACTTCTTAATTTCTATATCTTTACAATCGCTCCAGATATCTCCAAAAATTTAACAGATATATAAAAATAACCAAAAAAAAACAATTTTATTAAAAAAATACTTGGTGAAATTTGATTGCACCCAATTTCTACTGTTTAAATGTGGACAAAGACTTTTACTTCTCCGCTAAATTTGAGGTCGATATCTACAAATTTAGGACACTTAACAAATTTCTTACATTGCAAGAAATATCGGAATACCCTTTCCAATAGGTGAAAACCTTAAATACAAAAGTTTTAGCTGTCTATACGGACTATATCGTCCATCTGAAACAGAGTCTTTTAGTTATAGCCAATTTTCACTATTAGGGGGACCCATTTTTCAGTTTTTTTTTTCAATATGGGGCGCACCCTGTACATTTTTGAAAAATTATCAAGAATAACAGTTTACGGAGCCAAATTTTGTGCGTTTCGTTCAAGAATTTTTTCCTTTGCATAAACGGTTTTGGAAAAAGAAATGAAAAGAAAAGAAATGATTTTCACCTCCCAATAGGTTCCATTAGGAGACCAAACCCTATTTGCCTGCCAAATTTGAGGTTAATTTTTATATGTGTTATGCCCCACCGTGGATGGTTAAAAGGGGCCCAAAATTTTAAACGTGTAGCTCAAACCGTTCGGAAGTTATCGTTGAAAAACCCTGGAACAGAGAATGGAGAACAGACAGGCAAAACAAAAATTTTTTTTCGATATGTACCAACGGTGGTCCTCTAGGGCCCACCGTTACCGAGATTTCGAGTTTAGTGAGAAGCGCGTATACTTTCGAAAAGAATCGATTTCATCGATTTTTCGAAAGTAACAAGAGTGAACACCCGCCCGCTTTTGACTGGTCTCATTTAAATTAGAAAGACTTCCTACTTTGGACACATAATGCGCCATGAACAGTATGAAAAATTGCAGTTAATCCTGGAAGGCAAAATTGAGGGTAAGAGTAAGAATAGCTAGGGTAAATATAGGCAGAAAGAAGAAATTGTGGCTCAGAAACATCAGAGAATAGACACACATCAATGGTAATACTCTACTTCATTAAGTTTTTTTTGTTTTTGCTTATTTGCTGTCGTTTTTCAGTTACAAACAGTAAAATGTAAACAAAATTGTATTTTTGTATTTATCGAATAGCAGAATTATGTATTATTTTTAGGATCAGTATTTAATTATAAACTCTTTATGCTAAGTAATAAACAAAAAACATTTTTTTTTATAAATTGGTTCACTCACCTGGGATTACATTCATAAATACCCGTGATCACTTGCTCCTGCAACCGCCTGTATATGTATCCGACAGATATAGGATCGATATCTTTTCCCAAATATTTCAACCCTTCTAGGGTTAATTTCCAGCAGGAACATTTCAGCTTGTCCTGCAGACGAATAAATCAGCACGGGGCAACGGGCATACGTACGAAAACCTTACGACGCAATCGTCATCGCAATCGCATCCGCACAAAAAGTCTTGGTTCAGGTTCATATGCACTCCCTCCATGGGAACTCTCTTGATAGAGTAGTTGCAAAAATCTAGCATATCGTTGTTGAAGCCGTTTATCACCGGAATCGGCACCTGTTCCAATCCTACACCGAAGAATGAGAAAAAAAACTCTATTTGTGAAAATTTTTGAAACGCACCTTTCGACAAGTCTTTCGGGTCAGGAGTGCATTCGACGCTAAACTCGGCCAAACATCGCACCATGTGATTGAAATCGAACAAGTCCACTGTCATCTCGCTTTCGGTCACGCGCAGATAGTAGTGAATCTAAAATAGATTGGACGACAAAGGAAATTATAAAGTATTTAATTTCAGTAACGGCTGGAAACCCTGAAGTCTCCAAAAGCATAACGCCATCGGTTAGATTGGCCGCCATATTTGTTGAACAAGACTCTTTATTTTGATTTATAGAATCACCTGTTGATTATGTGGCAGAGAAATCATGAAAATGTTTTTTTGAGCAGGGTTTAGATTTAGATAACTTTTTTATGGAACTCTAATCAATCGTAGTTTTGAAATTTGTTGCTATATGGCAGGAAAATGCAATGTTTTCAAAATTTTTCACGTTTGGGATATGGGGTGGTCTATTACAGTTACTTTTTAGAATTACTTTCACATCATCCAAGTAGTCCCCAAAGTGGTAGGTGTATTAATCCTCTGTATACTATAGAACTTTTTAAATCTATGGCCAAAATAAAGAAGAGTTTTAATAAAGTTTACGATACCTATATATATATATATATATATATATATATATATATATATATATATATATATATATATATATATATATATATATATATATATATATATATATATATATATATATATACCTAAACGAATTCGAGATCAAACTGCCATTTATAAAATGTGTCTTATACAATAATATTTTCTACCTCTTATTCTCAATACCCAACTATACAACAATCAAGCATGCGCAAAGTGTCACTTTCAAACATCAGCTTCGTTGGGCCGTTAGAGCTACTTGGAATTAGAAAGAATCACATTTGTTCAGCTGATATAGTATACATTTGTCATATATTAAATATCAACTATATAATTTACATGTTGTTCCAATTGTAATATTGATTATCTGTATAAAAATGAAAAGGACTATAGTAGCTGGTCTCGCGAAGCTGTTTGAACTGTTGTATGTCCCTTACTTCGCCGATATCCCTGATCATGCGTCCGCACGGTGCCTTATAAATGATCTCCTTCCTACCCCTATCTTTCAAAGTCATTCGGGCCCATCCGCACAGCAAAGGCTTGGACAAAGGATTGTGGCCGCGCAACTTCGTAAAGTTATGGGTGAGATACGCTTTGCAAGCTGGCGAACATTCGTGAGGCCTGTACTCGCGCTTTGTCACTTGCTGATCCCTCGGCGTAAAGTACTGTGAAAAAAAAAACGAGCTTAGTGGCGTTTGCCGCGAGACAAAAATGGAATTTCTCTAGTATAGCTACTAAATAAATTTAACTATGGGGGCTTCCTTTTGTTGCTTTATTAATTAATTAATTTATAAAAAGCAACTTGGTCTGGACATTTAGTTTTGCACCCATCCTATATATTTTCTATTTACTGCGAACAATGCGTAAGAAAAAATTATGACGGGTGCGTGCGATCATATGTCTTGAAATCCAATATCTGATTCTTAAAAAATAATTAGCCGTTCACTATCTAAAAGAACATAAAGTTAATTATGGAACCCATAATGCTTTTCACTCGTTTGAAAATATAAACCCTGAATTTCGCAGATTGAGGAAATCGAGGTATACCATAAACTTCCGTAGGCTTTCACGGCCGGTATCATAATAAAGATATAGCTGGAAATGACGACCGATTATTGTCCCTACATTTAACGATTAGTGCCAGCATAAGCGCAGAAGACTTGATGAAGATAAATTGGATCACTCAGCAGTCGATGGAGAGTACTCGATGGAAAACAGAGACAACATAACTTTAAAAATTCGATAAATTGACAACGAAATCAGGCAAATCAACTACACCTATTTTGGATATTAACAAATCTGACCGTACCTTAACGACGGCAGAAATGTTTGTATTGTTACGTGTTTTTTGAACGGGGATCACATCAGATTTGAAAACACGGAAGTATTGCCCATGGAGAAGCATTATTATGCAAGGCTACCTCGAGAATCCATCGAAATACATAAACACAAAGACAATTTTAACAAGAGAGAGGAAAGGTTACAAGTGAACAAAATATGGCACAATATCTTAGAAAAAAGACACACGAAATCGTATACGAACAACGCGGCAAGGGGCGGGCCATACTAACACCCGCTCAATCCGCCGTCCGTCCGAGCGTCGAGCGAGAGTAGGACTTTGACAACCCGAACCTCTACCGCAATTGTTGTCGCGCTACAATCTACGGTCCACTGATCATGGCTGCCGCAAGAACAGTTGAAAGCTGTGGTAGCAAAACCAATAGACAGCTCGGAAAAACTCAGTAATATAGCATAAACTATTTTACTCTTAAATCCTTTAATAAGCTATGAAATCATTTGAAACAAATATAATATTAAAAACTTTCAAATAAAAACACTTTCTTAATTATATAAAGTATATTAATTTCTAAATCATCTCACATTTAAACACGATTAATGAATATATATGAAAAAATATGACCTGTGATAAAATAGTTTTTATTTGGAAATACCAATAAAGATTTTTGTAGTCTTGGTAGACAAAACAATAAGATCGTTTGTGTTTTTCATATTTGAATGTATTAAACTATTGGTGCCCCAATCATTTTAACACTAATACTGAAAAAATGTCTTTTGGGTTTAAATTTAGGAGATTAACAATATTCATGTTAAAAAGTAATCGAGAACCCTTATTAAACAAAGGGTTGCACGATTTTCCTGACTTATCGCTGTCGCTTATTTCACTCATTTCACTAACACCCTATATATATTTTTTTGTTTTAATTTTCTTCTATTTGGAAACAGTTTATTTACATTTCTTTCTGCATATTTAATTTGCTTTTTATAAGCTTTGTTAACAAGAAATATTCTTTCCCAATGGCCTCTTCTACCTTTTGGTGAATATTGAAGCGTTGTTGACTTACCATAATTTTGCTCGTTGGTCCGGTGACATTTGCGGGAGTCTTATTTACAGGAGGTAAGAACGGTACAACGTTGGGAGCCGCGTTGGCGTGGGGTTGCGCGGTGCTCTTTCGGGCTACCGCCCTGACTGTAGAACTATTATTCTCTGTGGGAGATTGACTGTTTTGGATAAAATCTGTGTTCCGAGTGTATTGCACAACCGAAGCCGATTCATTCTAAAACCAAATATGATTAGTGTCACCGACCAAGCTTATCGAAATTCACGTACGTGTCCAATTTTTCGTCCCCTCAAACCGGTGTGGCGGTTCGTGGCCGCTTGTTCCTCCCTAAACATCGGATTCAACCGAGTCGAACCCCTATATATCCATTCGGTCCTCTTCAAAGAACTGAAACGCACCTGAACGAGCGAGCAATCCACATTGATTACCGCACAGGGCCACCACTTGGCGTTGTATTCTACCCTGACGGTTTGGTGCTTCAACAGTTTTACCATTGGTCTGTCTTGACTCTCCAAGTATTTTTTAATGAAGGGTCTCTGATCTGCGGGCATGTCTTCCCACACGTTCGCGCTCGCCTCGAATACGAGATTGATGCCAGAGTGCGAAACGTACTGGGAGTAACCAATATCGAAAAATATTAAATATCTGAAATTATGATTTATTTATCCATATTTCAAAATTACAATAGAGTGATGAAGGAAAACAAAAGAGAAAAATATACAATATCGATATAACTTTAGGTAAGAAAATCTGTTATTTCAAGCAAAGCTAAAAAATGTCAATAATTATAGCTATCACATAGGGCCCAAAGAGCGTCAATTGCGTCTAAGGGAGTGAGAATGAGTGGAGAGCACAGCTGAATCTGTGCAATTACTCATAAAATATTTGAGCGGTAAGGTCAAGGACAATCAATTGTGGATGAGTTCGAGGTCCCTCTGCTTTCTTCTACAGGAAAAAAGATTGACACATTGAGTGTGTCATACAGTGGTACATACCGTTGAAAAACTTTCCCAGTTTATGTGGCTGGAAAAATTACTATGTACATTTTCCAGGCAGTGAATATGATATGCTGAAGTCGAAGCCAGCAAACTTGCTTACAAATTATAAAATCATTACGGGATGAAAAATTCAAATAGGAGCTCAGCAAAACACCCAGATCCCTCAATTGATTCACACAGTTCAGTGGACCACTATTAATAGGATTAATTGAAAGCTCTGTCAAAGTGAAATTTCATTCCTTTCCACTTTGACACATTGATTGCAAGTGCAAGACAATAATTTTTTAATATTTTTTATGATTAACTTTAAATCGTTAGCAAACAGAAAAAGCAATGTAAGAATTAACAATTGATGTCATTGATCAATAGATGAAAAAAAACCCTGCTGGGACCAGGATTTGAGAAGAAGTAAAGTTTTGGAATTGAACTGATGATGCAGATGGGACTGTAACTTATTATCACATTTGTGGAATCATCAGATTTCTGAATTGGTATCACCACAATTGTGTTTGCAATATTCCAAAATTGGATGGATATAATCTCTTATATAGAGCAGCTTTTTTACACTCTGAGTAAATCTCCAAAATTCGATTTATAAATTCAGATGGATGGAAGAGCACTGGTGCTGGGGGATGGTGATTTACCACTGGGTTTTAGCAAGATTGAGTCTTACTAGCGCTTTGCATTCATTTTTGTCCTCACATAGTTAATTTTATTCATTAGGGAAACCTTTTAGTAACCATTCTCTTGGCATAATACAAAAAGATCAGGCCAACTCATTGAAAAGCATGTTCCCTTTCCAGGAAATGAGTTGAATTGAGTTATAGTGGATATGTTGTTAAGACGCTTCACTTTTTTTTTTTTCACTACAAGACATAAAAGATGTTGTCGCATTTTTGAATAGCAATTTATTTATGGTTATTTACCTGTATTTATTAGATTCAACAGGATGTTCTCCTACAATTCCCGCATAATATGGATCACTTTTAGGTTGTTTCGCTTCAACCAGTTGGTTTGAATCTTTGAAAACGGATATAACTCTCGTACCTACCGCTAAACGAGACTTACAAGCCGTCATATAAGCTAAAATAATCTATGTATGAACGAAAGCAAATAAAATCCGGCGCAAAAGTCCTACCAACATCTTTCCCACTCAATAGTCTTTCTCGTTGCTGTTTCAACTCGACAAGTCTGTAAGTGGTCGCAGGCCAAACCTGGCCGTTATAATTTGTATTTGGCGGAATCACTTGCTGCAGCCGGGCCTTTATCCACGATGCCTGACTGTTGTTTTTTCTCGTAATGTAGTAGATCGAGTCTATTAAGTTTAACATTGACACAAAATATTTGAATCAATATCCTAAGCAAAGTGCCGACTTCATTTTTTTCAGGCTATATATTTTTATTAAAGGTAAATATCATTAAATAGATAGGTACTCCCTATTATACCTAAACAACTAAATGCATATATTTAAATATAAAAGTAAAGTTTGTTATGAGAAAAAAGTTTAATTTAAATCTATGCTTTTTGTTTTTATGCTTTACTACCCACAAATACTGAATATTTTTTAATGGATGTGCTTTATTCTGTTCCAATCTAATAGATCAAAGGTGCCCAGTTTGTTGTTCCCCAGAAATTTGAATAGGAATCTTAAAATGAATCAAATTTTGTAGACTAGCGATCTTATTGCTTAGCATCTGCCTATATGTGGTACAAAATAACTTCTTTTTGCTTTATAGTACAAGCATTGGAAAAAATTATTTTCTATTAGACAGTAGTTCAAATGTTTCACTACGTAATATTCATGATTATAAAATGTTAGAACCAAAAATTCTTTATTATTTATTAGAATCAACATTACTAAGAAAATGATAACGATGACATACCAATTTGGGGTAGAGGTTTATCGAGCAATGAATTGATGGGTAAATCTTTTGGAATTTCAACTTCAGTTTTAATGGGTGTTTTAGTGAGAGGGCTGCCTAATTCATCCTTAGAATTGTGCAGACGGGTACTTTTTCTCTGCATCTCCAGATTGGGAGTGATTTCTTAAAATTGAATAAATGTTTCACCAAACCACAAACAAATGGATAACAGCAAACCTGCTCGTATTTGAATTATGGGGCTTACTGTATAATCATCCATAATACTAATGCCCTTTAACATCCTCAAGTCTGGTCTAAATTGATTGTATAAATCAATCTGGATCTTATCTAAACAAGTTCTCACATCTTTGACTTTGGTCTCTAGTTCTTCACAATCAGCTGCCAAGAAAATATGTTATAGAGGAAATTCATGTAATTAAGAGATTTACCTTCAACTTGTTTGGCTCTCTGAGTCAAAAATGCCCGTTCTTTATCTATTTGATTTTTGACATCAAATTTGTCAATGGTCTCCAGCAAGATATTTTCTATGTTATCACTGATAAATTTAAAATTTTCATCAGACATATATTCCATTTCACTGTTTGGATTGTCTTCTTCATCTGAATCATCAATCTGAAGAGTTTCATTGACGATTGGAAAATCGATATCAAAAAGGAGGTTGCCTTTAAGAAAGTGTAGCCAAATACCAACAAACAAAAGAATAAAAGGACCTACCTTCTGTGAGAGCAGTGGCCAGTTTATCATTATCATGGACTGCCTGAAGGTAGCAATCCATACAAATCTCTTCCTTACCACTTTTGGACTTCTTTACACGAAAATAAGACAATGAAAAATCTGGAGCAAAGATGACATTTGAATTGTTTCCCTTGCAGTTTGTATTCACACATCGAGTACATTTTGGCTTTTCTACCAAATCAATTATTTCTTTTACCGGTCCCGGCTCTTTTCTAATTGTCTCGTCATCGTCATCATCCAGAATTACAATGCTCGCAGCATTACAACTACTAAAATATAAAAAAAAAACAGTGAAGATAGGGTTCAAATAAATTATATCTACCTTTTAAGGTTCATTATCTCAATATTTTTCTCGATATCTGCAAAGTCAGCCCTTCTTTCAATTATAGGCGTGACTGGGATAGGGTCGTCTATTTCCATAGCATCGTCGGCGTCTTCCATGTCCATTTGTGCCGGTATTGGTATTTAACAACCTCCTAGAATGAGCTATCCAAAAAGACGAAAAATTAAGACGTAAAGGTAACAGTGCAGTATTCTAAATTGATATACTTTTCCGTTTGAAGTTTAATACAAAATCACCATGTTTCAATTAAAAGAGCAATCCGTGTTCAAGACACAAAGTAAACAACTATAAATATCATGAATCAAAAACAGAGAAAGAGAAAATCTTCTTCTTTTTTAAGTGAACAAATATCGTCAGTGTCTTTAATATGTTGCTCAAGGTAACGTCAATTGTAAAGGAGAAGAGTTGTTCTATGAACAGTTGGATATTTGATGCCATTATCTGTGGTTTCCCTCCAGTTTTCTTGAGCCTCATGTTTTTTGGTTGCAGTCTACTGTAGGGCATCTAATCATTTTACTTCTAAATTTTATTAACTAATCCTGAGCCTAACGAACGCTTTTGTGTTGCAAGTATCTCTCAGTTCACCAGACTAGTATAACTGATTTTCAAAATGTTTTGGGGTAAGTTTAGTTTTGGAATGGGTTTCGCTTTTATCTGATCCCACGTGTTCTCTTACAGGTTTAATCATGGAGCCTGAGAGGCGCTATTCACAGAAAGTGAAAAAGCAATTTCACATATCGAAAGCCGCCTTGGATATCTCTACATCGGGCGATGAACCTTCACAAGTAATGTGTGGTTATGAGGGCAGAAACTATTTGCTATGTACTTTAAGGAAACCTGATGTGCTACAGTGTGATTTAGATTTGGAGTTTGCGGTAAGTGATTTGTTGTAAATTAATAATTAACATATCAAACATAAGGTATAGATGAAAAGTAAAATTGCTTAGGAATAACTAAGATCTATTGTAACATTGTCGTGTTTGGGAACCAGTACTTTTACATACAGTGTGTTTTATCAAAAACTTTTCAACTTTCAGGAAGGAAGCGAAGTTTCTTTTGCCACTAATGGCAAGGCACACATTCATCTAACAGGCTATTTAACAAATTTAGATAGTGAACTGAGTTTTGGTGACTTGGAAGAACAGGAAGAGGAAGAAGTTGAAAATGACGATAGTGATGAAGAACAAGTTGAAGAAAAATCTGTTCCTGTCAAGAAAAAGAAGAATAAAATAGATAGAGTAGAGAATGGTCGTAAGTGCGGAGATATTTTGAAATTAAGTATTATTAAAGATTCATGGGGTCATTTTTAGCCCCTTCCAAAAAACCAAAAATTAATGGAGTTCCAGAGGACTCTGATGAAGATGATTCCGATTATGAGGGTGTGGATGAGGAAACTGAAGGCGCAGACTTTGAAGATTCAGATGAGGATGACGAAAGTGGAGAAGAAGAAGATGAGGATAGTGAAGAAGAGGTACAGGAAAATGTGAAACCCAAGGCTGCCAAGAACCAGCAACAAAATGGAGACAAAAAAAAAGAAAATAAAAAGGTGGATTTGCAAGTGAAACTGAAAAAGGAGCCAAGCAAGAAACAGATCAAACTTGAAAAAGGAGTTATTGTTGAAGATTTGAAAATTGGAGATGGAGCAGTGGCCAAATCAGGCAAATTAGTTACTGTAAGTGTAAGTCGGTTTCATAAAAAAAGATAACTGTTTTTTTTTTGTAGGTATATTATGAAGGCAGGTTAGAGAAAAATAATAAACTATTTGATTCTTCCAATAAGGGGGCAGGATTTAAGTTTCGGTTGGGTGCTAATGAGGTGATTAAGGGTTGGGACATTGGGGTTATTGGGATGAAGGTTGGAGGTAAAAGAAAAATCATTTGCCCGCCGAATACTGCTTATGGAGTTAAGGGTTCTCCTCCAGCAATTCCATCAAATTCCACTCTAGTATTTACAGTTGAATTAAAAAAGGTTACGTAAACAAATGCAGAAATATGTTGGATTTAAACAATGAGCTTTTTTTGGTTTTAAATGAAACAGAATATTTTATCAGAAAAAAAATTGTTCTGTTATTGTTTCCAATAACTTTTTCTTTATATTTAGCCACTCTCTTTGTGTATTCTATGTTTGTTTTAAATTAAATATTTGTAATTTTTCTCATTAACTTGTTTTTCTTCACCTTTTTCCCTGGTTGATGTTGAAATGAAAATTGACATTGGGAAATTGTGATAGTTTCACTTGGATTCAGCATATATTCCCACACGAGAAAAAATTCCCTTATATTCAAGTTTATGAGGTCAACATGTGGTATGGGGAAGCATGTTCAGGGAACTTGTTGCTTTTGAAAAATGGATGAAATCAATTTATTTTCGAAAGTATACATGCTCACTAAATTCGAGATCTTGGTAAGGGTAAGTCCTAGAGGACCGCCGTTGGTATAGAAATTATCAGCGTCGAAAAATAATTTTTTTTGTCCTCTGTTTCAGGGTTTTTCGACGATAACTTCCGAACGGTTTGAGCTAGACTCGTCAAATTTTGCTCTTTAATAGTCCGCGATATGCATAAGGCTGCGGTTGAACCTCGGCGTCCACCTTTTTTTTTATCGATTTTCGACTGCTTTTTGGACGTTGCTATGAAACAGGATAGGTATCCTAAATTTGAGGCTATCGACTTCAAAATTTGGCCAACAAATAGTGTTTCATTCCCTAACTGAACCTATTGAAATTGAAGGTCAAAAATAAAAAGCTGAAAATTGAGTTCGTCTTAATAAAAATCAACTAACTAGGAGGCTGTGATTCGGTAATCAATTTGTCTTACACCGCGATATAATCCATACCTACAGCTAAAACTTTTGTATTTAAAGTTTTCACCCATTGTACAGGGTATTCAGGATATTCCGAGAAATGGATTAAATCTCCGAAATTTGCAGCTATCGACCTCAAATTTAGCAGCACATCTAAGCAGTAAAAATTGGGAACAATCAAATATCACCAAATATTTAAAAAAAAATTTTTTTATATTTTCTCAAAAACAATTTAACCGATCGGCAAGATTTTAGAACCAAGAAATGCGGGAGTTCCAGATCTATAACTTTTATTTTAGACATTTTTTCGATTATATACAGGTTTTTACAATTGTGTTCAAAACTCTACAAGACTGTGAAAATTGTACTTTTCCAGAACAAATTATTAGGCGTAATTGAAAATTCGTAAAAAATATGGCAAATTGGTTTAAACAGTATTATAGGCAGCATCGAGAGCTACAATTTTTGTATTTACGATTTTTGTCTGTCACATACGCTGCTCGAGATACTACAAAAAATCGATATGAAAAAATTCTAGGACCAGGAAACATGGGAGATCTAAGGCTATAACCTCTATTTCCGGCATTTTCCAATTATGTATTGGGTGTGTCGATTATCGAAAAAAATTCAAAACCACCCTGAAAATTGCCGTTTATATAAAACGTGGGATAATTTGAAGTCGTTATATGCCACCAGTTAAGGTGCAAAAAAAGCACACCTAACCTCAAACCCAAAAACCCCAAGAAAGCCCCCGTAGCTTGTATGGTGTATTTCGCCCCCGCCCTAGTGTACCCCCAGTGATTGTTCGAAAGCAATCTTTAATAATTTTTTTACCGTTAGTAGGACCACTATATTATCTAATAGCTATTTGGTTTAATATACTGCTCAATTCTAAACCGCGGTAGACACTATGCAATTTCTACCTCTATTTTATCGTATAAAAGTTTCTGTTAAAAATGCATGTATTTTTAACTGGTGTTTTTTGAGCAAAATGTGATTCATTATTTTGATGCTATGTTGTTTTTTAAGTTTGCACACTGGATAGTTTTTAGTGTGACATTGTATTGTGATTTTGTATTTTTCGCTCGTATAATAACTTCTCGGTGTATAAAGAAAATCCATATTCAAAAAAGAAAAGGGGAGAGAAATAATTGTTTGAAAATTCAATATATTAAATTTTGTATTTTCTAAACTAATTTTTGTGCAATTCTCTTATACTGAGCACTAATCTAAGACACATTAAAATGCATTTTTAAACAAATTGTCCATTCGCATCTTTTAAAATAATATTTGGGAGACGAAACTTTCATCTGCAATCATTGGAGCTGCGTTGACGGTATGATCTTGCTGTCTAGGAGCCTTGACTTTTTATAAACAGTATCCCCTCGCTTAGAAAATAAACTAAATGGTTTGCTTTATATTAAATACATATATTTACACTTTTAATATCCATCTTTCGTGATTTGGACCTATTTACATTTTTATAAGTTCGAGAGCAAACTTGCGCCGATTTTTAGGCACCACATATTCGGGAAAAAAATAGCTGGTAATTTTTTCTGCAATTGCAATTTACAATGTTGCAATATTTACATGCAGAAATACGTGTACAAATTGCATGGTGTCTGTCTTGCTTTATTGTACGAAATAATTTAAGTATTTCGAAAACTTAACAAAGATATATCTTTTGAACCACTGAAATTTATTGAACGAATCTTTTTATTTTAATTCGAAGTAAAACTTATTGCTCTATGGCGGGCGGATATGCATATGTAAGTTATAGTATAAAATATAAAGTATTACATTAAATTAAATTGGATGGTATTTTCATCCATGCCTAAGAAAATCGGTAATAAATAAGTAAATCAAATATTAATTATCACTAGATCACTACATGTTGCTATATCGTAGGACGGTAATTTTGATTGGTTTATATAGGGGTATGCAGCATGCAATAATTCCACAGAGAAGCGCCGCCTAGGTATATAAAATGTATTGCTTGTGACCTCTATACACCATAGATATTTGGGGTGTGTGTATTGGTGTCGTTGGTAATTCATGTCAGAACGCCTGATGAACAGCGGTTACTGTGTGGTGGTGGTGACTGATAATGTGTACCCATGTGGGATTCAGTCGAGTTATCCCGGATAGTTTTCTTTGGTCGAACAGCTAATTCGTTAACGTACTTTGACCTAGTTTTGCCACTATTATTACCAGATAATCAGTACATATTACTTCGAAACAGATGTTCGTTGAGCAGTTGGGAAACATATTTACTTAAATATTTAAAAAATAAGGAACATCTTTTCACCTAGATCGTTCCGGGTATTACCTCTTGACGATTTAATAAAAACTATTTATCGCAAAAGGGGAAAAACAATTTGTTGGGAAAAATATCAGATCTTTGTACACGAAATAGGTAAACAAAGCGTGTTTTTATAAGTTTTCAGGTATATAAGTAACAAGCTTTTGCTTATGAAACACTAATAGTAGTTTGCAGGTTGAATCAGTAATCAGTTTAATTACTTCAAAATGGGCTACAAAGCGTCAATCATTTTGGGACTTTTTTTAATTTTTGCTATTATCGGCATTGTTTATTCAATGCCTAACGTGGAGAAAAAGGGTAAGAGCGTAGATAAATAATTAATTTTCACCTATAATTATTATAAAAAATATTTTCTTTGTATATACTAGGCCCACCATTAGGTATTACGTGCACCGGAACTGTGGATCCCACTTTCTGCACCATACATTGCATTTACGATGGTTATAAGGGAGGAAGATGCATCAACGGAATCTGTAACTGCTTTAATTAAAAGGCAATTTTTCAATTTTTTTCAATCACGTCCTTTTACTTACACTTGTGCTTCTAAAATACAATGTCTAGATTTATTTGTAATATATTAGGTGTTAGCTGGAAATAAATGGCTAAACTCTAATGCACGTTATATTATTTCCGGTACCGCTAATCCGATTTTCGTTCTAAACACTGCAAACACTTAACTTAATATCATCCGTTCGTTTGTTGTTAATTTTGTACTGAAGTGGCTTTTACTTGATGAAAACCCATTTAAAATAGTTAAATAAGAACAAACGTTGTTCAGATTTTCACTTAAATATATTTAAATGACATCTGTTTCGGCTACACCGTGCCTTTATCAAATGCGAATATCAAACGGTACCGATGTTTATAAATACAAATCCGGTAGTAATTACTTAATGTGAGGGCATTACATTGAGATTTAACAAGGGGGATCCATTCGAATCCAGTTGGTCATTAAGTAATACATTCGAACCTCTCATCTTATTAATTTAATTAATTTAAAATTACGCTATAAATTTAAACACAATTTAGACGACAATTTCGATATTTTACACACTGTTTCAAATAGTAGAAAATTAAATTTACTAGAAGCTACTGAATTTGAATGGATCCCCCTTGTTAAATCTCAATGTAATACCTCACATTAAGTAATTACTACCTGTTTTGTATTTATAAACATCGGTACCGTTTGATATTCGCATTTGATAAAGGCACGGTGTTGCCGAAACAGCTGTCATTTAAATATATTTATGTGAAAATCTGAACAACGTTTGTTCTTATTTAACTATGTTGTTAATTTTGCCTGATCATAGTAGCGATGTCCCCGTTGGCTGCTGCGTATGGCTCTGCCGTTGATTATCGTTCTCCACGTATTGGATAAAGGTGACCGGACTTTTGTGTCTCGATGGCCTCTCGTATAATCCTGGTCCTAAAATCAGAAATAGCTATTTCTTTGCAAATACCGAAATCAATTTTATGGCCTGTCTCGTGTTTGTGCTGAAACAAAGCAGATGTTTGTTTCTTATGGCTAAACGATGTTCCTCGAGCCTGGCTGAAATCCTTCTATTGCTGTCCAACTTACGTTAGGCTGCACGATCCGCATGCTACACTGTATACTCCTGTTCTTCTCGCTTGTGAGTCTGAAGGACCGAGCAATTATTGTATTTGCCACTGCCTGTATCTGTGATGGGTGGTGATGAGACTTAGCATTCATATATTTATTGGTGTGTGTTGGTTTTCTATAGACAGTGTGTTTCAAGTGTCCATCTCCGGTCCTTGTGATGTGCACATCTAGAAAGGGCAGACTGTTGTCCTCTTCAAGTTCTATTGTGAATTGAATCCTAGGATGAATGGAATTTAGATATTCTAGAAATTTCAAATGCTCCTCTTTGCCAAAAAGTCATAGAACAAATACGTCATCTACGCATCTTGTCCATAGTTTTGGCTTCAGATTTGCCTTCTCTATTGCTTAGCATTTTTCAGGCAATGTCTTGACAGATCTCCGGAAGATCTTCGTTTTGTTCTATAAGCAGGAGTGCCTCCTCTACTGGAATGCTCGTCCTTGTCTATCCTGAGAGAACCTAAAATCTGAGTGAAATGTTCTAAATAAATTAATAAAATTTATTGAAAATGACTGGGCAATTGAGGTTTCGACAGAAGCCTTACAGAATTTTGCTTACAAGAAATTCAATAAAAAATTAATAATATCTAATTTCAATAATCTTTTGCACCTTGCAAAAGGATTTGGAAAAAAATGGTCTAATTTCATGATATATAATCGTTTCCATTTTGCCGGTAACATTAAATCAAATTGGAGGATATACTTGCGCTTGGGGACACCGAGACGTTAGCATCATTGTTGATTTCCATTAGATTAAGAAGATAGTTGCCAACTAGCACTCAGATATTTAAAATGGACAACGAATTTATATATGGGTTTTAATGAAAAAACCCCAATCAGAATTTTATCGTTTGCTAAACGGCGTTTACCAAACTACTTAAGTGAACAAGTTATTTATAGTTTCACAAAACAAATAATCAAAATCAGAATGAACTTAAGACTAGGTTACAAAAAATAAAAAAACGAAAACGTAAGTTTTCTAGTTTACTAATGTTTACATACTTTTTTATACAGTTTATGTCCATTTTAAAGTATTTTGTTCCGCGTTTAAGTGATAATTACATACAGAGATGAAAAACTTAAAACAGCTTTGTCTATCAGAAGAAATGGAAACATAAAAGTGTTTTGAATAGCTCCAATCTGCAACCTCTTGGACAGGGTGATATTTAACATTGATCATTCAAATCTCAAGTAGAAAGCGGTTCGAGTGATACTCAGTTAAAGCTATTGACAAACGTTTTTGAGGAATACTAGAAAATCTATACTTTATAATATTCTTCTCGGTAGGATGTAAATGAATGAAAACTTTGAAAGATTAAATTTTCATTTCATTAAATTATTTTTTATTTATTTAAACACTAAAAAATTTTGTTTTTGTTTTCTAGTACACCAAGAATGTTATAATTGAGATTAATTCATACACATTTTTTGTTCTCACTTCCCTGGAGAGAAATTGTATCCCTCGAACCTCACTCTATTCAGGATTTCGGATGTGAATTTCGCTCTGTCCAAGGGATTGCAAATAAAGGATAAGAGAAAAGCAAAATTAAATAAAAAAGTCTTTATTTATCGTATTTTATACACAATGATCAAATGGAGTATAATAAAATAGATTGCATCAATAACATACAAACCAGAACTTTTTCGTAACAAAAACTTCCAAACAAAAATAATAGTTTTCATATAAGATGCGTTAACATCAGTAAACTGAAAAGGAAATTTGTTTAATTTTTTTTATTTTTATTAAATTTATTGCATATGTAAACTTTTATCACTGGCCACGTTTTGATTGTAAAAATTCGATTAAGCTCATTACCTCCTGCTGTTTTGTAGGAATTTTTTTTTAATAAGTTTTTTTAAAAAACATTCCATTTTTTTTCTGATCGTTTGTTCGTGGTACCAGCTTATGTTTGCGTTTTTTGTTTTTTTCTCTAGGAATGTCTTCAGCAGCAAAGGCACTAACCTGATTCTGATTTTTCAATTTGCTAGGATTTTGATTTTCTAACATATTTTCATAAATACCTTCTGAAAATTATCATAGAATTATCATCAATTTCCTTTATGATCTCATCATTTAGTTCTATTTCACTCAGAGGTTTACCTTTGTTCTTTTCAAATAAGCCACTGTTTTGTGAAAGTAATAATAACTTGCTCACTTTAGCAGTCTGCGAAAAATATTAAAGATTTTTCCCCGGATTACCATGCAGACACCACCGCTGATTTATTTGAAAGTTGATTTAAAAACAAACTAGTTCCAAACTTTCCTCCTAATAGCGTAATTGTAATGGACAATGCAAGTTATCACAGTAGACAGTTGACAAAAACCTTTTCCTCATGTGACACAAAACAGCAATCCAAAACTACATGTATAATAACGACATTAATTTTTACGAAGATTATACCAAAAAGCAATTAATTGAGGTTCTAAAAAGCTTGAACCTACAAAAAGAATACGTCTGTGATAATTATGCAAAAAATCTAGGGCATACAGTTTAACCTTACCTTACCAGTGTATATTTAATCCCATTGAACATGTTTGGCACCAACTGAAATCTGCCATTCGTCGTAATAATGTTTTTCCCTGTGTTAACTCCAATGTCCTCAAACTTGTAGAAACCGACGTTTTTAACATCCCTACATAAAGTTGGGCAAATTCTGTTAAACATATAGAAAAACTAGAACAATCGTATATCCAAATGCAAATAATATAGAACAAATAATAATTAGAACAGGTGATGATAGCGATAGAGATACTGATATATTATGTGAATAATTTTAAGGAATTTAAGTAGGCAATAAAAATAATTTGTAATTTTATTTTAGATTTAAACATAAATACATACATAAATAAATAAATATTGTTTAGCATTTTTCCTAACAAAACCCCAGATAATTAAATTCTAAGCGAAGTACGGACCCGTTCGGCCATATTTCATTCTTAGAGCTTGTCCGAGCCTTTCTTTACTTCATATGAGTTAGTCACTTTCTTGTATCTATGAACAGACTTTACCTATGTGGATAAGAGTTTCAGTTTATTTGTCCCGGATATTTTTCTTTGGTCGAACAGTTAATTCATTAACGTACGTTGACCTAGCTTTGCCACATATTATTACCAGACAATCAATACATATTATTTTGAAACAGATGTTCGTTGAGCAATTGGAAAACATATTTACTTACATATTATGTTTTCACCTAGATCGTTCCTGGTATCACCTCTTGAAGATTTAATAAAAAAAATATTTATTTATCACAAAAGGGGAAAAACAATTTGTTTGGAAAAATATCAGATCTTTGTACACGGCGACAACGAAATAGGTAAACAAAGCGTGTTTTTATTAGTTGTCAAGTATATAAGTAAGAAGCTTTTACCTAAGAAACATCAATAGTAGTTTGCAGTTTGAATTAGTAAGCAGTTTAGTTACTGCAATATGGGCTACAAAGCGTCAATCATTTTGGGACTTTTTTTCATTTTTGCTATTATCGGCATTGCCTATTCAATGCCTAACGCAGAGAAAAAAGGTAAGAGCGTTGATAATTAATTTTCAGTAATAATTATTGTAATAAAAAATATTTCCCTTGTATATACTAGGCCCGCCATTAGGAATTACGTGTAGCGGAACTGTGGACCCCACTTTCTGCACCATACACTGCATTTACGATGGTTATAAGGGAGGAAGATGCATCAATGAAATCTGTAACTGCTTTAATTAAGTTATTATTGGGTTACAGAATATTTTTTTACAAGAACATTACTGTACTTACTACATATATAATATATTAGATGTTATCTAGAAATAAATTACTATATAAACTCTAATGCACGTTATATTATTTTTGGTACCGCTAGTCCGATTTGGTCTGAAAATTTCACATGTACCTTGCGCCATTTTCTTTCTAAACACTGCAAACACTTAACTACTTTTCTTAAAACGTTGAACGGGGTCTGAGCATATTTTCTGAAAATTTTGCAGTAAAAACTGAAAGTTCTCTAA